AATGCTCTGTGCCTTTTCCCCACCAGCTTTATCCTCCCAGCAATATTTTTTCCTAGTCATGTTTAATCTCCTAAGGGTCCAAAGCCAGAAATAAACCTTCTGAAGGAAAAATTCTAGAAATGAGTCATTTTAAGAGATCAAGTTTATCACCACACCTTGTCATCTGGGGCCCCTTCTGCACAGCAGCCCCAGAATATCAAGGTGGAAAATCCCACATTATCGGAGTGTAGATTCAATAACCCAGTTCAAAGCAGATATTTTGGGATTTTCTGCCTTGATATTCTGGGGTATAGGGCAGTGTGGAAGGGCCCTTGGGCTCCTAATGCATTTTAATCAGCATATATATGTCCAGTACAATCTCTTTCATCTATGCAAAAGAGTGGAATGTGCAAACCAAGACACTGAGAAATTAACATCTTGCATTCTTAAAAATGTAAGAATCCAAACTAAGAGAAACAGAGTGAGAAAGGAAGCTTGGCTAGATATTACATTAAATTCTTAAGGGTAAAATGATAACTTGAAAAAGTCTGACTCCGATTACACTGCCTCTGCATGAAGCTCCCTCTTGTTCTCATTACTCGCTTGGCCTTTTTCCAATGCAGGAGGTATGCGAAACAGACAAATCACCAACCAATCTGCCATAAGATTTGCAATGCATTCCATAAATCAACTCTATATAATTCTATGTTGGTTCCATAACATTTCCTACTGGGTCCCACGTTTACATAGTAGATACTTGGTGGAAGGCTTAGCAACCTCTTTTTTTCTTTTTACTAATAGAGATTTTGCTTCATCTCCTTCAGGAGTGGCAATCCAAACATTGAGCTTGGCCTAGGCTATCTCATATCTGATTTTGGCTTCTCCCAGCAACTGTGGAATACACACACACATACACTACTGTGCTTCTTTATACAATACAATTATATATTGCATATGGAGGCTTCCAGTTCAACCTCTGGCATCTCCAGAGAAGGCCAAGGGGGGGGGGGGAGGTATTCCTGTCTTGAAAATGCTACTGAGTGCAGACAATGGCCCTCCAGAGAGTGCTAAACAATCATCTTTCAAATCACTACCTTTGCCAATTGGATCTGTTGACAATTGTAATCCAACAATACTCGAGTCCCACCTCTTCCCCACCTCTGGAGTAGATAATACTGGAATACAAAGACATAAGTGTTATAAGTGTTTACAAAATTCTTACAAGTGAAAGGATCCTGGAATGCTGAATTCAGTTAAGACAAATGTGGCTAGGCAGCATATTTACAAGAAGATCTCAGATCTCTTCCCAGTTTCTTAAGATGGAAGGGGGTGGACTAGACGACCCTCAAGACTGCTTCCAACTCCAAGATTTTATCATTTCATAAGAGCAGATATGAGAGACTGATCCCTAAATTTTATTTATGCACAACACAAACCTTTCTATCAACTTTTGATTCTAACATTCAATGTCAGTATAGAATTAAGTGATAGCAATAGCTTTATGAATCTGCAGTGGTGCTGATATTGTGAGGAATCATTTAGTTAAATCATTTTTAAGGCTATTTCTGTCACCCTCATTTTCACCTCTGGAAAAAAAATCTTTTTCAGAAGCCAAAGCTGAACTAACAACAACTGAATTTAAAACAAGCTATGACAGTCTACAGATTCCAGAAGTAAAAGAGCCAGAGCCAGATTTAAAGAAACAGAAGAAAAAGAAAGAGAGGAATGTCTTTAAAAAACTTTTTAGTAAGAAATAAGAGCAAAAGAAAAATTACTGGATATGCTGGGTTTTTCTCCTCATGCCACCACATTGCCTTCAAATGTTCATAAAACACAAAGACTATGTATATTGGATAGCATTTCCAAACAAAAAGCACAATGAAAGCCACTGTCTATAATTAAGCACAATTACTGTTTATAGTGCCATTTTAAATTGTATACATTTCAAGCCCATAAAAATGCAACTGTGGGAACTTGAATAAAAATTTCTTAAATCACTCTCAGTATGATCATTATTCTTGCCAATAAAGGTAGTACTTTATCCTTTTTGTCTTCATACAATTCAATTATGAATCACATAAAGATGTCTCTCTGGGCTCGTCCAGATAGTACCTTTATCCCAGGAGCTTCCGCAGCAAACATAAGGGTGGCTAAATGCCATTCCTTGTAATCACAGATGCAATTGCTAAAAACAGCAAAAAACGTGAGATTTTCAGGTGTGGTCATATCCCAGTTTTGAGCCAAAAATACACATCTTCAAATGTCTGTATGTTCCTGAACACAGAAATCATCGGATTTTTTAATCTGGGTTGTTTTCTGGGTTTAAGATGTTTGTTTCTGATTGGTCGGTTCCTAAAAAGAAGATGACAGTTGAGTAGAACATGAAAACTTTCTCTGTGTGCCAGAAACTTCATGAAACATGCAGAGGGCACATTTTCCCTAGCCAGGACAAAGTTGTGGCCCCCTAGTCAATGTTGTACCTTTTTTCACAATAACAGCAATCAGGAACAGACATGTATAACCCAGGAACAACACCCTGTCTGGACAAATGGCCCTGCAGCTTATATAACCCAGGAATGGAACTTATACAATGATTTGCATCTTAAAGTTTTGGTTTTTTTTAAGCCAAAATTTCCGGTGGAAGTCCCGTGGCAGCCATCTTGGGGGCTGCAAAATCCCATGACAAAGCAGCAAGTGTGGATGACAGAGGCAGGAATCCCAGGCCCAACAGGTCTGTATTTGGACATCTCAGGTCCCAGGTTTTTTTGGGGGGTTTTTTTTGCCCCTAACTAAGGCACGCAATTTGGTGCTGTCTGGAACTGCCCTGTGAGCTTATTGCTGGAGGCTGATAGAGGCTTTAACCTGCCACATCATGACAATTGGATCACTAGAACTCATTGGTGAAGATTTAAATTCCCATCCCTCTCTGCAAAGAATAAATGGCCTCTGGCACATTGGAGAGCCTATTTCATAGTCTGTAACAAAGAGGGGAGGTAACACCAAAGTACCATGTTGGCCATACTAAAGTGGTTTTACCTTTTCCAGGGTTCTGACCTGTTTGAGTAAGTTTTCACTATCTTTTGGTAGCCACTATATACAGAATCATGAAATGACATTACATCAGGGAAGATGGACATTTGGGTGGATGCAGTACATTATGAACTAAGTGTCTAGTTGTCATGAGACATGCAGGATCCCCAAGTCTTCTGGGCATTTAGCAGATCCCGGTTTCTGTCTGCGTGCCTGTCATTTTCATTAAAGATTTCTTTACAGAACCTCAGACCTCATAACCTCTGAGGATGTCTGCCATAGATGTGGACAAAACATCAGGAGAGATTGCTTCTGGAACATGGCCATACAGACCAGAAAACTCACAGCACCCAGTGATTCCGACCATGAAAGCCTGAAACAAAAAGTTGCGTCCTTTTCTAGCTAAAGTATGCAAATATTTGTGAATGGTTGGCCAAAGTATCACTCTTGGTACTCTTGAAGGTGGGTATGTGTATATGTGCACTAGGGTTATCATCCAGCATGTGTGACAACATCTGCTGCTGCACAACCACTGAAGTAAACAGGAGCCCTCTTCTTTATTTCACTTGGCAACCCTAGCACATACACACATATCTATACATCTGCCATCTTTTAGCCATAATTGAAAATGTTTTTGAATAAAACTAGATATCATTTTATGGAATGGTAACCAGATTTTATTTTGAGTTTAAATTAATGAAAACATTTTCATGCATCTATTTAAATACAGCAAAACAAACAAAACATTTTCAGACTGAGTCTACAAAATATATTTCATCAAATAAATTAGTTGTATTTTTTTCATTACAAATATAATCATGCAGAAGCTGCTACATCAATTTCAGTTTCTTCTTGAGATTTTCCCAAAGGACTCCAGTTAGTTACATTTATTTCATCAATAATTATATTACTTCTTTTCCTTTCACAGTGAGCATGCCTCTGAAACAGCCTCACTGCTCGTTCACAGAGCAGTCCCAACTTTGAGAGATGGTGACATTTCAAACTAATGGATAATTAAAACCACTAGTGTAAGATCTGCAAAAGTGAAGAGCTGATTTTACCAATGCTAAGTTTACACATACTAAGAACAAAGATTAGGAGAGAAGAGTAACCTTTAGATCCATAAATTTAGTTTATGAATGCCAAAGAAGCTCCTGAAGGCCCCAGGTTTTTCTTACTTGTGATGCTGAATCCCGATCTCCTTACCAATTCAGTTTAATGCCTTTCTACAATGCTGTGCTGCATTACATTAGAGCTGCATTCCAAGCACATTATAAATCTTTAGGTTTCAACAGGGTGTAAATTCTTCCATGAATCAGTTTTCCCAAAACTCATTTTGACAGTGGGGCAAAAGGATATAGTGTTAATTGAGTCAACATCTGTGGTGCCACATTCTATTATTAATGGATGTCATCGCAAACAATAAAAGCTGTGCTGTTTGTTGAATTTGATCTCTCAACATACTATAGAACAGAGGCAATGCAAACAAACAAAGGAATTTTGCAAACAGTATTTCATAGAGAAGCATTAGTCAGTTTTGTTGACAGTGCTTGAATCATTCACAACTATAATTTGTCAATTCTCTCAAGTAAAGAATAGTTCTGAATATGGAATGGAAATAATCATTTTCTGCAAAGGAAACAAAGAGTATTTATTGATACAATGCAATTGCTCATTATTGGACCAGAACCAGGAAAGTACCATTCTTCATTATTTTCCTTTGGTGTGGGCTGAAATCTCACTCACTTCCCTTAGCATCAAGGAAGCTGGTTCTTTGAAATATTGCAAACAAATCCCTGAGGCACATTCTATTATTAACATCAACAAAGAGAGTCCTTGCCATAGAAACATGTTGTAATGCTGGCTCGATTACATCAGCGAGATAAACTTCCACCAAAACTATAACCTAAAACACTCAGAATTCAGTTCCTTTCAGTCTCAACTACCTAGGAACTGTTTGTGCTTCCAGATGAGCACCTTATAATACTACCAGGCAAAAAGCATTGATTGAGCAGCAATGATATCCTTTCCTATGAAAAAAAAATCTAGGAAGTGGGAAGTGAAATGCTGTACATTTGGGGGAAAGTTGGACATTTCAAAAGCCATAAGCTCAAACCAAACAGGATGGGAACAAGTATTTGTTATAAGCTGCATAGGACACTGGTGACTATATAGCATCGCCTCCAACAACACATGAGTTTCTGGCTATTCATCAGAGATCCTCTCCACACCTCAAAAGTTATTTTCTAGGCCAAACTAATATTTTAAGAATTGGACCAAATGCCTTGCTTTTTCTCTATGGCACCCAGGAGGGCCTTGAAGATACAGTCTTTGTTACAGAGAATGTTATAGGTGCTGAGGTTTAGTAGTTTGTCACAGTCTTCTTCGGTATAGGTTAAATGCATTGTTGCATAAGGTGAGCACTTCTGCAGATTTACTTCGCCACCACTCTTTTCTGAAGAACAACGTTTCACCCCTAGAAAAATGAAAAGAAGTAGGTTTTAGAGTTTCACAATGCATTTTGTACCAGAGACTTCGATGTTTGCTATTTTGGAGTCAGGGAAATATGTTGGATCATCCTATCTGTTCTGTGCCCCTTTTTCCTCAGGGGGAAGATCACACACTCTCCAATTTTCTGACCCATGATAAATTTGCAGCTCAGTAGAGTGGGCGAGATAACCAGGGTCGACTTGGGGTATTTCTGTGATAGTTGTTTCTAAACAAATGTTAATATTGAGCATACCAAGTCGAAAGGCAACTTGAAGGCAGACACACACATATAGTATGAAGGCATATTCTATTGCTGGCCAACCTCCTGCTTGTACACTTTTACAGCTGCAGGCTGTAGCTCAGAAATATAAATGCTTTTCTGTCTAGGCTTCATTTTTTCTTGTCTCCAATTAACCATTTGGCTGAGGTGGAGCACGAAAAATCTTGGCTTCTGCATTCTTTCCACATATTCTCACTGGCCCTTTATTGGGAAAGCAAGCAAAATCTTCTGTAGGATCCAGATGTGCCCCCACACACACTCATACACATTTCATTATAGTAGACAGAGACATTACATTCCTTGTGTGCAATTCAAAGCTATGAAAGTTTTAAACAAAATACTTTTTGTGGATTATGTTGTTCAGACAAACTGAGAAAATGCTGCAAGAATCCATATTACATAGCTTTTTAAAACACTGTATAATTCTATTGTACTGCTTTGTATGATGTTATACTTTGCACGTAGAGATTCCAGGGTGATCACTGCTATTTTCAAGTAAGGCTGGGAAAATATTCCCATGTGTAAACATGAAGAGGCACTGCTACTCCAATTAAAACCAAAAGCCTCAATCTAAAATTCCTCACATAAAAGGAATAAGAATCTATCTCACTTTCACCAACTACAGTCCCTAATATATATAGTTTACTTATTTATTTCCTGACTCTGTGTGTGCGTGGGGGGGGGGGGGGCCTGTTTGTTTGCTTTTGTCAATCTTATAAGCTAGGTCCTTTATTTTCTTATTTTCTTCTTCTCTTCTAAGTGATAACTGGCCAGACAAATTCTAAATTCCTACATACTGTACATTATTTTTCATTTATTTCCTGAAGGCATTTGTCTACTGACTCTCAAACTTCCAGGGCCTCTGGGGCGAAGTACAACATGTTTTTAAAAGGGACACATACATAGATTGGCTGATTTTTGCCCCTGGGTTGATGCAAAGCTATAGCAAATCATTAAGAACAGATAGGCCAAAGGTTTGACCAAACTATTTTTTCTTTTCCTGAACCGGATGAATAATATAATCATTGGCCAATGGGCCATAGACATGGCCCATCTCACTGAACAAATAAGTCTGGGGCAGATGGAGGGGGCAGGATGCAGGGAAGAGACAAGAAGGAAGCCACTGAAGTACTAGTCTGCTGCCCTTGCACTGTTATTCTCATACACCACCCATCCTCTGTCCCATGTGTGTGGTTGCGTTTGTTGGGAGAATTAAGTTCCTTCTATCCCTCAATCATTTGGGTGGAGAGGTTTGTATGGATTGGATAGAGGAACCACCCAATGGAAATGCAAGTATATAGTAAGGTGGACAGGAAATTAAGAAAGATTGTTGGTTGATAGATTTATGTGGAAGGTCAGATGCCAGCATGCATGCTGAGGAGGAGGAGAAAAATGCAGTCACTGCCCTCATGTGACCTAAAATAATCTGAGAGAGTAAATATGTGAACATGACAGGAACTCACTTTTGTACTGAGGTGACATCTGGAAGGAGGAACTGTATGGTTTTCAATATAAATTTGATTTCAGATTAAAAAGTGTGTGTGTGATCTTAACCAGAGCAAGAGCCCATGGATTAGGGCTAGGATATAGCCCTCACATGGGTTCAGCATTGCCAAGCTTTAAGCACACATTCTCCCAGATTTCATGGCATCAGCGTTAGAAACCATAGAACACATAGATACAGATTAAACAAAAGATGAAGAGAACAGTAGGAATTCTTAAGTTAGAAAATGAAGTTTCAATGATTTCAGTTTACCTGGTGCCTTGTACTCCTTGAAGGAGCAGTCAACCAGGGGAAAGCAAACGACAATGGGTGCTTTGGGGTTCTCTTCATCTGAGAAGACATAGCATTCCTTGAGGTCCTTTTTCTCTTCATCACTCAGGTGGACCTTAGGAAAAGGGATGCCTTGCACTTCACAGTACTTGGCCATCATCTCTGCTTGCTAGGAAAAACACAAATCATCCAAATAAAATAGGCATTTTGCTTCCTGGAATTAAATCAGCAGTGTCATGCAATTAATTATGGAATTAATTATGGAATTAATTATGACCAGGATACTACTTTTCTTGGGATACTTTCAGAATAATTTAATGCTAATGACACAGAAACAGAGAAAAATATAGATTAAAATTTCTGGCTGCACTCTATCTAAATTTACTGTAAAAATAGTACTATGAGAAACTAGGCCTGGGCGGTTTAGTTCGTTAATTTTGTAATTCGTTAAATATTCGTTATTTTTAGCAATAACGAAACGATTACAAAACACATTTTCAAACCCGGAAGGGTTTAAAAATAACGAACCGGCAACCCCCATAGTTTTAACGAGCTTCCGCCCGTTTCGTAAATGGGATGGAGGCTGCTGGTGCCCTGGGAGCCAATCCGGCGCTCCCAAGCACCCAAGCAGTGCACCGTGGCTGTTTCTGATTGGCTGGCAAGCCCTTTAAAAGCGGCTCCGCGTGGCCGCACAGCTCATTTGTTGCGGAGGCGAGGGAGAAGAGAAGAGGTCCGGGAGGGTGGCTTGCATTGGGTTGGCTTGCAACTGGCTAAGCTTGGATTGATTCCTTGCTGCTTAATTCCTTGCTTGGATTCATTCCTTGTTGCTTAATTCCTTGCTTGGATTCATTCCTTCCTTCGGTTTTTGTCAATTTGTTTGTTAATTTTCCATTTTTAAATATTTTTTAAAAATACCTGTCTTTTATTCTTAAAAAAACAAAAAATATTCTTAAAAAAAAAAGACTCTTCTGTTGCTGTGTGCTCTCGTTTGCCCTGTCTCGTGGCTGTGTTTGCTTCATATCAGGGCCAGTTTTTGGTTAATTTTCCATTTTTGAATATTTTCTAAAAATACCTGTCTTTTATTCTTAAAAAAAAAAAAAAATTCTAAAAAAAGAAAAGACTCTTCTGTTGCTGTGTGCTCTCATTTGCCCTGTCTCGTGGCTGTGTTTGGTCCACATCAGGGCCAGTTTTTGGTTAATTTTCCATTTCTGAATATTTTTTAAAAATACCTGTCTTTTATTCTTAAAAAAAACAAAAAATATTCTAAAAAGAAAAGACTCTTCTGTTGGTGTGTGCTCTCATTTGCCCTGTCTCGTGGCTGTGTTTGGTCCACATCAGGGCCAGTTTTTGGTTAATTTTCCATTTTTGAATATTTTTTAAAAATACCTGTCTTTTATTCTTAAAAAAAAAAATATTCTAAAAAAAAAAAGACTCTTCTGTTGCTGTGTGCTCTCATTTGCCCTGTCTCGTGGCTGTGTTTGGTCCACATCAGGGCCAGTTTTTGGTTAATTTTCCATTTTTGAATATTTTTTAAAAATACCTGTCTTTTATTCTTAAAAAAAAAAAAAAATATTCTAAAAAAAAAAGACTCTTCTGTTGCTGTGTGCTCTCGTTTGCCCTGTCTCGTGGCTGTGTTTGGTCCACATCAGGGCCAGTTTTTGGTTAATTTTCCATTTCTGAATATTTTCTAAAAATACCTGTCTTTTATTCTTAAAAAAAATACAAAAAATATTCTAAAAAAAAAAGAGTCTTCGGTGGCTGTGTGTGCGTTTGTCATTTGTGTAGTTCCAACCAGTGCGCTCCTTTTGCCAACACAAAGTGCTACATACACTGCTCGCTCATTTGTGTAGTTCCAACCAGTGCGCTCCTTTTGCCAACAGAAAGTGCTATAATACAGTGCTCGCTCATCATTTGTGTAGTTCCAACCAGTGCGCTCCTTTTGCCAACACAAAGTGCTACATACAGTGCTCGCTCATTTGTGTAGTTCCAACCAGTGCGCTCCTTTTGCCAACACAAAGTGCTACATACACTACTCGCTCATTTGTGTAGTTCCAACCAGTGCGCTCCTTTTGCTCATTATTTGTGTAGTTCCAACCAGTGTGATGAAACGCTTCCTTCCCGGCTTTTCTAGTCGCAAGGGCCAAGTGCTATCGCGAATACCGAAGAAAGGCAGGGGACTGAAGATGAACACATTGACAAGAAGGGAACATTCATCCAACGAGATGGTTATTGAAACACCCACAGATGCTTCAACCAGCTGTGAGATGGCAGAACCTTCTTCTTCATCAGTTCGAAAGACTCTACGTTCAGATCCTGATGTTGTTCCAAGTACCTCTGATATTACTTGTTATGAAGAGGAGGGCGAGGAGGCGGACGTGTCAGAGGAATGGGAGGAAGACAAGATGGAATGTGCTTCCACCACAGGAATTAGTGATCAAGAGGACTGCAAGCTGATGGAGGGCGAGCTACAGAAACAACCAACGATTATACTCCCTTCCACAAACACCGACAGTCCAAACACGAGCATGAGTACATCTGAAGTGCCTAGTAGGGGTAGGCCGAGATCGCTCCTATGGGATCATTACGACGTCCATAATGAGAGGGCCACTTTGGCAGTTTGCAGGCATTGCGGTGTGAGCGTCAGCAGAGGAAAAGATATGAGGCATCTTGCCACAACAGGGCTAAGGATGCACATTAAGATACACCACCCCCAAATGTGAAGTTGGTCCTTCTTACTTAACTTGCAATACTGCTACAGAAATTAGTATGTATGCAATACTTCCCAGATAATTTTCAGAGTTTTTTCAAAGTGCAATTTCTGTTACTTTTTTTTACTTTTTCTTTATTTATTTCTTATATTTACTTTCTAAGTTTTTATAATAACATTATATAATAATTTATAATTTAATTTTATATATTATTTTTTTATATTTATATTTATTTTATAAATATTTTATAATTTATTATATTTTATTTATATTTATATTATTATTTATTTCATTTATATAATATATATAATAATATTATTATATTATATTATTTTATTTTATATTGTATATATTATATAATTTTATATTATTTATTGTTATTTTATTATTATTATTATTATTTATTTATATTTTATTTATTTAAATTTTATTATTATATTATTGTTTATTTCATTATATTATATTATTAAATTGACTCAGTTTTGGATACTTTATCTTATTACTTTTTTATTTAATATCTTAATATCTTGTTCTATTTGATTATTTTATTTGATTATTTTATGAAATGATTTTGTTTATAGAGCATTTAGCATTGCGCAATCGCGTCCGCCGTTTTAACGAATCGATTCGTTATTAATTTAATAGCGAATCGATTCGTATTTAATAACGAAGTTTCGGAAGTCGCTTTGCGCATGCGCAATCGCGTCCGTCGTTTTAACGAATCGATTCGTTATAACCTTAACGAATCGACCCCGCGCCAATAACGAAGCTTCGGAAGTGATTTTGCGCATGCGCGGGGGGTCCACCATCTTAACGAATCAATTCGTAAATATTTACGAAATTTCGTAAATACCGAACTTTTTTAAGGGAAAATTTTGTAATTATTTTAAATATCGAAACAAAAAAACACCCCAATTACAAATCGATTTTAGAAACAAATTTTTGCGTTGTTACCCAGGCCTATGAGAAACCTATAACTGAATCTCGCATTAAAAAAACAAAAGCTGCTAAGAGTGTTTGGGAGAATAAAAAAACAAGAAGAAAAGTTTAATCCCACTTTGACATGTCATTTTCATGCTATCCCAAAAGCTGCTACTGGGTGACTGGCAAAGACAGACTGAATATTATCATCTTTTTAGACTGATCCATTTTAGAGTTATGCAAAGGACAGTGACAATTATGGCTGCTAAGAAGAACAATGTTCGGAGTTGGTAATGTGACATTTTAATCAATTCAGTTCAATCAAATCTGGTAAATAAAGTCAGAACAGCCTCCGTGCAAATTTGATTTCCTGCATGTTATTTCTGCTAGTCCAACCAATCAATTCAGTCAGGCATCATTTTACAGGAATCAAATTCCAAAGCTAAAGTAGAAATGTATAAAAATGTACTCCAGTGGGAAGCAATCCTGCCACTCAGAACATGGATGATTAATCAGCAAGGTTGGTTTCAGTCTGCCAACCTCATCTTATACAGCTAGGAAGTAGAGTAGCCCATCTGCCATATTCACTCCAAATATTACTTTTATAACCTTGAGAGAGATTAAAACTGTTTATCTAAAGCAGTGGTTCTCAACCTATGGATCCCCAGGTGTTTTGGCCGACAGCTCCCAGAAATCCCAACCAGTTTACCAGCTGTTAGGATTTCTGGGAGTTGAAGGTCAAAACATCTGGGGACCCACAGGTTGAGAACCACTGATCTAAAGGAAGATAGAAAGGGATCCCCTATACAGTGTATAGGGACATGAGACAGGGCCTTTTCTGTGGTGGCCCCCCAACTCTGGAACACCCTCCCCAAAGATCTTAGACAGGCCCCTACATTGGCAGTCTTTAGAAAGAACTTGAAGACCTGGCTGTTCCGATGTGCCTTTCCAGAATAGGAATCTCCAATAACAAGTCCCAGAAGCACTTTATTAGAATTAAGATCTGCCGCACACTGCACACTGCACTTACCCTATAATCCTTACATATAAAACTGGGCTGGGCCCATTACTCTGGCCCGGCCCAGTTTTATAGTGTCTTGATGTATTGTTTATTGCTTGTTGTTTAATATTGCTTTAACTGTTTTTAATTTGCTTTAGGTGTTGTATTGTTAGGTTGAGGCCTTGGCCTTTGTAAGCCGCATTGAGTCCTTCGGGAGATGCTAGCGGAGTACAAATAAAGATAATAATAATAATAATAATAATAATAATAATAATAATAATAATGATAATAACTATGTATCTGTGGTTCAGGAGTGGGTGGTAGAAGACCTAATTCACTATATTCATTACACTGCTTATTATATAGTGACCTCATGGTGCATTTCTTGAAAGCAAATGGGGATTGAATGTTGCCTAATATTGTGTTCTTTTGGCAGTCTGTTCTAAATCCATTACACTCGTTGTAGTAGCCCAAAATATTCACTCAAATTCTTGAAGACGTCAGCAGAGGACTGAAAAGGGAAACAGCTGTTGTAGCTGTGTGTTCAGGATGGTGCTTTCCCTTCAACCTACTAGTTCATGGTGATTAGGGGACCCATGGTGGACCCAGTGGCATGGGACTTAATCTCCACTAGTTCCATTAGCATGAAAGGAGCGCATAGGAGTTGCATTCTAGTATCATCTGGTGAAGAAACTTGTCTCTTACTTCTGTGTTAACTGAATCTAAAAAATATGGAACTGTCAGAAAGATAACCAAGGTCCTTCTTATGCAAAATACAGTATGTATTTTTCTGCTGATCTGTTTTTTCTTGTCACATTTCTCTGATTTCAATATAAAAAGCAATATGGAGATTATTTTTGTTACCTTGAAGGGTGAACTAATCTCATAATCCAGAGCAATGATGACATCCACATTTCTCTCTGGCTTAAGAAGTGGTGGACCACTGTTGTTAAGAAAGTAGCCTATGTCTATTAAGCAGAGGGATTTATCCCTTAGTGTCAGCTGGCTGGGAGACGCATCTAACACAGTATCTGAAAAGCAAGTTTTACATTTTTATCAGCACAACTATGAGAAGCCTATGTCAAAAGCGGTTGTAGCAGTTAAAATCTATCACCAGAGACCATATTTCAAACAGGTCCTCTTCACAATTTCAGATCAGGTAGGAACTGATCAAGAACACCTCTTTTCTTATAACCTAAAATTTCCTTAATTCTATTTTTAGAAGAGTTTTGGAAAGCTTGCAGTTTCATATGTTAACCAACAGAAAGGGATATGTGTAAGAAACATACAATTTTTAGCTGTTTGTTGTTGATAGCCCAAATCTGGCAAATGGAAATGTGCCTGTGAGCTAACCAAATTGGATACAGAGTCATTTATGAGGTCTATTCCCATGGCTATGTAGATGTGTGGATAGCTGAAGAAAATATACCCCCATGTTGTTACAAAACAGGTAGAAATCCAGTAACTGAAACATCTTACTAGACCAAGCTTTGACACAACACTACAAATAACAAGTCTTTGATGAAATTTTGTTTTTTCTTTGTTCATGATTGCTAATTTGTCCATTTCTGCTGTTTTAAATACTTTTACAATCCATTCTTCTATTGTCAGGAGGTCTGACTTCTTTCAATGTTGTGCATATAATGTCCGTACTATTATCATGTAGTGCAATACTTTGTAATTTAGTAGTTTTGTTTATTTGACATTCCTGATAAAAAATAATGAAGACTCTAACTGTAAGTTTGATTGAAAAAATTTCTTGCAATGTTTTTTGTATCTTGCCACAGATTTCTCTTGATTTTTACAGGACCACTACATATGGAAGAAAGTTCCTTCATATTTTTTTAATATTTCCAATGCTTATTGTTTCTTCCCTTATACATTTTGGCAAGTTTTTCTGGATGACTTTTTAAAGGAATAAGACAAATTAAAGGGTGATAAAGCAATGAATAACTACCCATTTTGAGACCTCATCACATGATGGAAATTCAGTGTCCTAAGATGCTTCTGCCCCAGTTGACCCACAGAGCCCAACACCACCTATCACACAATGTAGCTTCACTTCTGGCAGGGCTCTGTGGCTCAACTGGCACCACCAACATGGGGAAGCATCAGATGGTGGCAAGGTGGGGCAATGGGATTGCCCCGCTGTCCTGATTCACCATGGAGGCTGGTGAATTGGAACACTGGACCTCATCAGTGTGATGAAGTCATTGATGGCAATACAATGAAGAAATAAAAGAAGCCAGACTTTGTGGCATCAATATAAAAGCTGGGCTGCAATTGTTTTTTCGCTGAAATAAATCGCAGTATGCTCTTTGAAAGGGGTGGGAGTGCATATGTGTTTCTATTGAGCTCAAGTAATAATCTAGCCTGTAAAAAAGTGTTTTGGGTATTTTACCAAGTTCATGTCTTGATTCAGCTACTGACATGAAAGCAGAATGCTTTTGACTTGATCTAGTATAGCTATGAGGCTATGTAATATCAATATATTTCTCTCTCAGTGAGCATCATCTTTTCTCTTAATGAAGATGTCTCAGTGAGCAAGTTAATCTTTTGAGTGCAGCATTGGGATCATTAATTCATTCCAAATCCTAATGGACTGCAATCTTTTTAATTGTTCATTAGGTATCATCTGTTAAAAATGAAAAAAAAAACCCAACACAATCTCAGAAATCAAAGAGAAGGGTACGCCTCAGGCTTGAGCCAGATAATTTGTCCCCAGAAGAAGTACAAAACAAAATATAAATAGGTTGTAAGAAAATTTTTGAAAGGCAATAAATCTTGGAGGTCTTTCTCAACACAGAAAACTCTTTCTTCATATATTTTCTTTAGAAGATGGGCTTAATACGTCTCTTCTAGAATTTGAAATACATCACATGAGTCAGTACATCTTATTAATCAATACCAAGCTCAGCTTTGATTTTGTTTTCTTCTTCTATCTCCCAGAAGCTCTCTGTGACATTTTCAAAAATAAAATCCGAAATATAAATGTTGTGACTATGTAACTTGTCCCTTTTGCCTTCATTTTGCAGAAAGTAGTGACTATTAGTTACCTCTCCATTCATTAAATTCTTTCTGTTGCAAGTAGTCTTGCTCCAAGTCAAGGCTTCTCAGGAAGTTGTGAGTAGCCCCTTTTAAAGGACGATCCGTTAAAATATCATTAAAGATTTCACTCAGTTTTCCACTTGCTGAGGATGGAGGCTTGTAGACAGTGGTATATCCATCAGCTGAATTAGTATAATCTGAAAAAAATGTAGAAGAAGTTCATTTGTGAAAACTTCTTTTCAGAACACAACACTTTAGAGGCTAAGGGTTTGTTTTTTGTTTTTTGTTTTTAAAAAAAGTCAGCATGCTAAATTCAGCATGCTAAATCCTCATTAGGCGATTTTAGATATATTTGATCATATTTGGTATTTTCACCCTTAGTTTTTTCCCTTGAAATATTTTTCTACTTTTGTAAAACTTAGAGTTTCCTAAAGCATGCTGATGGAGTCCTCTTCCTTAGTGACCCCATTTTAGCTACATGGTCATCAAAATTTAGCACCCGGTTTTGCTAAAAATTACATCTGTCAGTGCTGAAAGCCAAACCAGCCATATGCCAGTCCACAACATTCAACTTATGCAAACAATCCAGACCACAGTATGGTTACAAACAGAAAGAAAGAAGGGAAAGCGGGCTGAAAAGTAACTCATTTGCAGCACATACAGGATCAGATAATTTGGTCATATGAGCCAAACTATCTGGTATACAGGAAGGCACAAAATATGCCATGTCTTACTAGACAAACTAAGATAATCTACTCCAGTTTCCTGACTCTCAACATAGACAAATATTAAAGTTATGTTCATTTCATATTGTGTTATTCCAAGCATCTGGCAAGAAGCTGTAGTGAACTATAATGATTATATAATGATTCCAACGAGCTTTCATGGCTCAGTCTACCAGGTATTTGCCTAATCAAAACTGTGCATATGAAGAAAATATGAGCAATATGATAAGCAGCCATTGTGCTCCAGTCAGAAAGAGTGTTTTCGCATCCAGAATAGTGATCCTATAGAACGTTATTGAAGAGTTCTCTTGAATTCTAGGATGCTTTCCATTCTAGCATTCTAAAGACTGATGAATGCATGAAAACAGCTTGAAAACAGCCTTTCCATCTTGTGCACTGCACAACTTTAACATACAGAGAGGGTCTTATCATATGGTTTCCTACCAATCTGGGTGTGTCCATGCTCCCTTATTTACATGTTCCCCTATTTACATATTTCCTCCCACACAACATGGGAGTTGCTTGCAATCTTCAGAAAAGGAACATAAATGAGCCATAAGCTGGTAAATGAAATTTTGAACTCTTTGCACACTTACGTTTTATCCACAAAAGCAATTTTTCCAAGCTCTGCCCAAATGACTGCTGTGATGCCAACTGATAATTTCCAGGTCCACTTGGTTTGCCATCTATGGCCAATCCTGGAAAGGAATAGCACGGCCAAGTAAACCATGCTCTAGTACAGGGGTTCTCAATTTTTTTCAGCCGCAGAGCCCTTTTTGAAGCAAAAGTTTCTCATGGAGCCCCAAGAAATGTTTATACATTATATTATATAATGTATATATATCAGACATGGGCAAAGTTTTACAACATAAACATAATCGTATTTCAGTGGAAGACCCCAGGGGCTATCCAGTCCAACCCCTTTCTGCCATGCAGGAAAAGCACAATCAAAGCATCCCCAGCAGATGGTCACCCAGCCTTTGTTATAATAATAATAATAATAATAATAATAATAATAATAATAATAATAATAATAAAAACATAGTAGCAGAAACCCCAGGGCCATCCAGTCCAACCCCCTTCTGTCATGCAAGAAAAGTACAATTAAAGCACCCCCAACAGATAGCCATCCAGCTTTTATTGTAATAATAATAATAATAATAATAATAATAATAATAATAATAATAATATCAGAAACCCCAGAGGCCATCCAACCCAATCCCCCTTCTGCCATGCTGGAAGAACACAAAGCATTCCCTGAGTGGTGAGAAAGAAAAGGGGTTTTGGAAACGAGGGGGAAAGGATCTGGGTGACAAGGAAGGTGAGGAAAAAAGACCTTGTGGGGCAAGGGAGGGGGCTTTTGGTGGCGAGGGAAGCAGGGGAGGGGGGAGCAGGAAGGAGGAAGAAAGCTTGGAGGGAAGGAGAGAGAAGGAGAAGGAAAGTGCAGAGCCCCTCAGTATGTTTTACGGAGCCCCAAGGACTCCCTGGAGCACACTTTGAGAACCACTGTTCTATTTACTTTCCAGTTAGACAACTGTCTTTGAGGACAGTCTTGGGGTTGCAACTTGAGCAAAATGCAACCAAAAGGTGTTGACTGGTTCAGCAATAAAAAAAATTATATAACAGCAGTTCTGAAAGGATTGTATTGGCTTTCTATTACAGCCACTAATTCAAAGTTTTAGAAACTGACTACGTAAAGGAGTAGCTCTTTTTCTAGTTAAAGGTCTACTGAAAAGGTCCCTTGGTTTATAAGATCAATAACAGAAACCTAGATTTCCAGTTATGTATCTCTTCAGTAGTGGAACCCTAGTCATAGAATAGTATGATGCTAACATTTGCCAGCTTTCAATAACAATTAACAACAATTGTTTACTGCAAATCCTTTTGACCAGCCATTTGTCTCATACATCACAAAAGGTAGCTGAACAGCAGATATATACTAAATCTGAGATAGAGTAACTGTTGGGCATTTTGGCTGATGTTGTGAAGGCAATCTGTAAGTACATAAAATACAAGTTAGTTTCCCCATCTTTTAGGCCACAAATAACCAATACAGGTGTGCATAGGCAGAGAGTAAATGATAGAAGGAAAGATACCTAACAGCTTCTGTGGATTCTTTCTGCAAGTAAGAAATCTTGCATTTTTCACTGGCCTATAGGAATTGGAGACTGCAAAGGCAATTTTAATTTATCTTGCATTTTGAAGAAATTCAATTTATTTCCATTCAAAGTATGAAGGAATTTGCCAATTTTAGTACATTCTTTAAAACTTTTTGTGCTGGATGAATTCATTAAGTATAGTTATTCTCAGCATGTAACAGGTCATTTTGTACCTGCTTGCTATAAAGGTGCTGCAGATGAGATACTTCTCCAAAAAAGAATTAGGAACCCTAATTTAGCAGAGTTGTGATAGGATACACAGGCTGGATCTGCAATGCTCTATTTCACAGGATCTGATCTCAGATAATCTTCTTATCCCAGATTATCTGGCAGTGTAGGCTCATATAATCCAGTTCAAAGCAGATAATCTGGGATCAGATATTGGGATATAGGACAGTGTAGATCCAGCCCCAGAGAGTCAAACTGCTCAGTATGCAAAACTTGGGTCTGGATGCAAAACATCCATCTGGATAGCTAAATCTTAGGATCTTTACACATAACATTATGTCACTGTTGCTGCATCCTGTAAATCCCTGGGTTTCTCATTTGATAGTGCATTTAGAACCTCTCTAAACTGCAAATCCTAGGGAAGTGTTGGTGAACCTATGACATACGTGCAGCAAGCGGAATGCAGTGCCCTTTCTCCTGGCTGCTGGCTGCCCTTCTGCTTGCTTACGCACACTCGCCTGCCCACCCTCACCTGCCTGCCCACCTGCCCCCTGCTTAAGTGCTTGCTCACCTGCTTGCCCCCATTCGCTCACCCCCCCCCCCCAATAAATCTAAAGAAACACTGGGATTTCCCAAGAAACCAGAAAAGCACTATAGTCAATTTTGGACCTCTGATCAATAATAATAATAATAATAATAATAATAATAATAATAATAATACAATAATTATAATAATTATTATTTTATTTCTTACCCGCCTCTCCTCATGGCTCAAGGCGGGTCACAGCACAGTGAAAACACACAAACATTGCAAAACATTTATAAACACACATATTAAAAGGTAGTTCCATAAAAGAGATAGGTCTTTAGATGGGTTTTAAATTCTTCTGGCAGGTCATTCCACAGTCCAACCTTGAGGTTACGAGTACATGCACTACCAACTTTAGGTCCTCCAAATCCAGGAAGGCAGCTGACATATCAGTTGAAGCTGGTAGTAAGTACTCCTGACCATTGCATCTACCTGGGCTGACATTTGGAGAGACAGATCCTAAGAGCATTGCCAAGCTGCAAACACAGTCTTTCAGGGGGAGTACAACCCCATCCAGAACTGGATGACATACCTTCACCCCCAGGTTAGGACCCTTGATGGCAAGCACCTCTGTTTCGTCTGGATTCAGTTTCAATTTGTTTTTCCTCATTCAGCCCATTACCTCCTTCAGGCATTCGTTCAGAAGAGACATGCCATCCTTAGCTGAGGCTGGTTTTGAAGGCATGGAGAAATACATATTGGTGTCATCAACATACTGATAACACCCTGCCCCATGTCTATGAATGATCTCTCCCAGCAGTTTCATGTAAATAGTAAAAAGCATTGGGGATAGAATGGCACCTTGTGGGATGCCACATAACAGCTGAGAGGTCTACAACAAAGAAACACTCCCCCTGTTGGTGTTGAGATGGAGATCATCCACTAAGGCAACCACAGCAGTCTCAACTCTCTATCCCGCTCTGAACACAGTTTGAAATTGGTCAAGGAAGTGTGTGTCATTCAAGACTGCCTGGAGCTAGGGGTCAATTGCCTTCTCAATCACCTTGCCCAAAAAGTAAAGGTTAGACACTGGTCTATAATTATTATGGTCCAGGGGATCCAGGGAGGCCTTTTTCAGCAGTGATCTAACTACTGTTTTATACAGGATGGAAAGTCCCCTCCCTGAGAAATGCATTAATAATTTGTTGTATTTGAGATCAAATTGCATCTCTTCTCTGGATGGCCAGCCAAGAGGATCAAGAAAGTAGGTTATCCTCCTTACTAGCCCTAGCAGCTTGTCCACATCAACAGTACTCACCAATTGAAACTGATCCAGTGTAATCCCACTGACAGAGTTGCTGAACATCTCCTTGTTGGCCTCTATTCCAATGACATCATCTAAGTAAGCTCTTATACAAGAGATTTTATCTACAAAATGGTTGTTAAAGGCATCACAGTGAGCTACTGAAGGTTCTAGTGATGGGTTTGAAGGGAATTATGGCCAAAAACGTAAGAGGTAAAAACCTTATAAGCATGGAATAATGTTTGTAGGCAACAAAGGATAAAACTGGGAAAAATGCTTACGCTTCTCTGCCATATTGGCAACCCATCGTTGCCAAAATTCTGCTGGTGTTGATGACCAGTACAAACTATCCAGCAAATTCCGAGAGAAAATGTTAGTCCAGATACCTGCCGGTTTAAGCACATGATTCATCAGCACAAATTAGACAAAAGTATATCTCAATGGAATTGATATGTATAAGCTTACGGAATCAGAAAAATATTTTACCTATTGACTAGTGTCACTGACCTAAATAAGCATAGATGAAAAAGCAAATACAGCTATTATTCAAAATACTGTGATCACTAAGACAAAAACCAATGGAATCAAACTACTGAGATTACTGCTTCATCTCACGGGTGTGAAAATTCTTTTTCTGAGATCTCAATTCCTTCTGGGGAATCTTTCGAAGAGTTAAATCATCCTCTCTCTTTCACCTTCTTCCACACATGCATACTCTGAGAAGGCAGAGTTCCTTAGAAAAGGTAATAATACTAGGGAAGGTGGACAGCAGTAGGAAAAGATGAAGACTGCATTACAGGAGGATAGACTCAAACAAGAGAGTCGAGAGTCACAGTGCAAGATCTGGCCAGGGATGATGACAACATGATGATCCCGGAGGTCATCATAACTCAAAGTCAACTTGACAGCAATTAGCAACACAGTCTCCAATTAAGTACTGAATATAAGTGTTTACCTCTATGCCTGACATTCTACTATCTTTAAAAATAGATGCTAGTCATCCTTGGGAATGCCTTCTTTCTACATCATAAAATCAGTTGAAAGTGGGTATGAATGGAAGGGACCAGGCAATTTAATGCAACTGATTTCATGCCATAAAAAGAAAACATTATTACAGTACAAAAGTTATCTATGGTACCAAAGAAGAATATCACTGTCACTCAAATTTGATAATCTCAAGAAGAAATACATCATTTCTGTTTCATGAGTGTAATTGCCCACAACTCCTCAGTTCACAGAGAAACTAAACATCAATGAATACAATGTCTAGGTATGTATTTTAGTGTCCCTTGTCTATTCAGCAATTATCCATTCAAAACTTCTATCTATCAACTAGTTGTAAAACTAGTTGTAAATAATAAATAGAAACAAAAGAAAATGTATACTACACATGACTTGGTTTGAAATAAAGGCATTAAGAAAATTCATACATAATATTGGTTCTGGATGTTTTTAATATGCGTTATTGAACAGTTAGACAAGTGCTAATAGTTATCTGAAATAACTGCTATTAGACAGCATGATGAAATCACAAGTAAATTATGACTCCCTCTGGTACAAAGAGACATACTCATCATACCCTTTTAAACTCTATGTATATTATTATGTGACATCATTATTAAGATAATGTGGCTGCTGAAATAGAAAGAAGAGAAAGTAGATTGAATGCTGCCCAAGGCTATCAAAAGCTCTTCTGTGTATTTAGCTCACCTTCCAGATAACAAATCCGTGATTCTGGGATCTTCTTCACAATTTTGCCCATGAAAAATTCACTGTCAAAATCTTCTGTACGAATATATGCACCATATTTCTGAAACCCCACTTCATAAGGATTAAACTCAACCCACTCTGAAAACAATGTGATATAGAGAAGATTGAACACAGCTCAGATCAACAAAAAGATCACTAACACAAAATGAAACATAAAATGGTCAAGCAAACACACCTATTGACATTCCCATTTAAAGACCTGGTATAATGAGTTAAGAAAACAAGAAAAATCACTCTGTACTTCCCAAAACAATAAAGCCTGTGTATGAAACGGTAACTAATGGGTTGTTATGTAACATAAGGTTATGTATCATTTTAGACTTCTAGAATAAAAAGGAAAAACTTTAACAAGGAATTTCTGATCACCATTCAGCTATTTATAAATCAGATTTTGGAGGATAAAATATTGGAAAATTCTTGAAGGCCTTGGGAGATAATTGATTGAATAAGGTTGTGAAGGACAAAGTAATTTTTTTTCTTATCTGATGTAAAGATTACTAATTGCAATTTAAAATTCTAAACTATTGGTTTTCACTGATGCTGATAACTTCTCTATGAAATAAAACAGATTATTCTAAATGAGGGTTAAAAGGAGAGGAGAAACATTAGTGTTATGCTGGATCCTGGAATCTCTTAAAATGAGTAAGTGAAATGAGAGTTAGCTCTGATATAATGACATTCTTCTGCTTCTAAGATTCTGCAAGATTACAGACTGGAAGAATCTAATTTAGTGAAGCATTCCAACAACAAGCCCTATACAATCTATCCTGCGGAACAAACACAGGACAGTCTATACTATAAAATGAAAGGGCCCCAAATCTATGTCAATGTGATGTGTATTGAGCCTTCTTTCCCGCTACCTTTAGTTGCTTGATGCATTCAGCAGTGGTAAAAATAATTCCATCTTAGTAGAAAGATGACAACACCTACCTCTAAAATCAAAGGTGGTCACATGGCTTTCTTTGACATTTATGGCAGTATAAATAGGGAACGGGTTCTGGCCATCATGCAAAGCTTTGCGTTGCTCTGAGAGTGTACAGAAATTTGGCTAATATCAAAGTGAAAGCATAAAGAAAAATATGATATATTAGAACAATTGTTGGTCTTTTCTCATGCAACCCTATTAGAGATACATACACTCACTCACTCTCTCTCTCTCTCTCTCTCTCTCTCTCACACACACACACACACACACACACAACATAAAATCAGTATTGACAACATCAGAAAGCTAATTACAGTATCGCATTGCTTTCCCCCTACCTACACAATGCATCATTACTGCCTTTACTATCAGCACATATATTACAGAAATATAGATATTTACACATTCACAGAACTAGAACTTTTCACTCTAGAAAAATTCCAATCAAGCTCTCCACTATTACAATATTGCTGGGCCATTCTTTGCTCCCAGCTATTTCTTATTTGTACTGTAATCCTGTGGAATGAGAACTGCCCGTGCTAAATGCTATCGAGAAGCACCAGATAGGTCTACATCTATGCCATCTGAAGCAGCATTTTATTCAATGTTTTAATTAATTCACACCAGCTGTTCAGAGGAATGTGTTCAGAGAAAATCTTGACACTTTCTGATCAATATCTTCAAGAGTGTAGTAGTGAGGTATCTTGTTCCCAATTGAGAGTTGCATTCTCCTAAACTCAATGAGACCTACTTCTGGGTAAACGTTCATCAGACTGGGCTGTATATCAAGTCCAAATACTGAAAATATTGGCTGCAGTGGACATTCTTTGCACTTTGTATAGCTATGATTAAAATGCTGAAATCACTTGCTGAGAAGCAGGCCCACTGTGATCTATGGAATTCTTCTATGGTATGAAACATTTAAGGTCTGTGCAGAGCAAAAATATTGTGTAAAAGAAATTCACATTTGCAAACACAAGACCAGTGAACGTGTCTCATACTTTTCTCTAAGTGGAAATACTAATAAAAGGAATCCCTCTGCAAGACAGGGTTGTCCCTTTGTCCATGAGTGTCCCTGTGTCAAGTATATGAGTCTCTACTTTAGGGTGGGGAGACCTTATATGGTGCACATACTTTATCGTGCAAGACAGCCTCTTGAACAAGTGACCAGAGAGCTGTGAAAGATGAAAGGTGCCCCATTTCAACTCTCTCCTTCAACTCCTTGTGGTAATACTTCAGCTGTTCAATGGAAATGATGCTTTCTTTACTTTTCACCATTTGTTCTTTAATTTTTTTAATGGGTTCTTCCAAGTCTTTGTGTGACCAGTCAACATTTCGGTACAAATCTGTCAAAGTCCTAAGATGGGAAGGAAACATCAGTATTAAAAAAAAACAAGGATATGTCTACTAATAGTGTTCACAGTAGTGTTATTACCTATGCAAATAAACGAACTGGCACCAAAGCCTCAAAAACTACAACAGGACAGGGTGACTGGATGAGGAACATGGAGTGTAGAAGAGATGGAAGACATTTAAACATAGAGTACTCTCCCATATATTCCATAAACACTTTCAGCACTCTTAATAGATTTTAACTGTGAATTTTTAAATTCACCATAAATTCACTGTGAATTTTTAAATTCACAGTTGCCTGCGGGCTGAGAAAGGCAGTATACAAATACAGTAAATAAATAAATAAATAAAATGCTGTTTATATTTCATTCTGTTTTAATGTTTGCATATTTGTATATTTTAAATTGTAAATGCTTTTATGTTAAGCCACTTTGGGTCTCCTTTGGGAGAGATATAGCGGGATAATAATAATAATAATAATAATAATAATAATACTCCTGGAAGAAAGAAGCATCAAGAAGCACTCATTGCTTTATTAATTCTGCAATATAGAACTTTAATTCCCCTGCTGATATAAGCATTCATTGTGATTAAAAGTTAGAAGGTCAGATATGAAGCTATATTTCCTCCACTTCCATCTTTTTACCCTATCCTACTTTGTCCCTGCATGGAGATCTTGCAATGCATGTTGAATTGTTTCGAGATAATTGTGTTTTCTACTGATTCAGAATGACAAATGAATCTTCAGGTGTTTTCAGAATCAAATTCAGAACTCTTTGGAAGAAACTCACTTTGACATCCCACTTCAATCCAACTTGATCTTAGTTAGTTCTGGATTTTGGAGTCATCCAGATCTGAAGCATTCTTACATTAGTTGTATAAACAATTCAGAAATTTCAATTATAATAATTTACAAGAGGAATGAGAGAGAAAAACATTAAGCAAGCACCTAAAGACGAATATAATAATCTTCCCTAAAGACAAATATAACAAAAGTGAGTGCAATGGAAAATCATGCGGAAATGTGTCCCTATTCCAGTGAATTCAAACAAACATCAGTAAACCTAATTTTTGCTGATTTATGCCCAAGTCTCATTACATATAACACATTTCCCTAAAACCTTACCATGTTGATCCAGAAGCAGTTGAGATGTATGAAATACAATCTAACAGGTTCAGTTTCTGGAATGCTAAAAGATGAGCATACAATGCTGTCATAGCCCTTAGGCCGCCTCCTGTTGCCATAATAGCTACCACTGGGACCTGTTGAAATGTAAATGACATAACCAAGTATACAAGTAATACCAGCTGCCCTGTCCTAAAATTCATCAAAGAAAATTGCCAATCATAACAACATCCTCCCCCCGCCACTCCTCCCCACATTATCTATCCATGTTTTGCCTTCTTCCGGGCTAATTTTGTGGTATAAAAGTAAATACAGACAGTTTATGTTAATAAGAAAATGGCAGATAGTTGAATACAGTCCACCAATTCACCATGCAACTTCCCCTTGCTGCACACTTACTACTTTACCTAGACTCATTGACAACCTCATCAGACGGGCTTACTTTCAGCAGTATGTACCAGATCTATAGTTTTACAATAGAGGCTTCCCATGATGCCTTTGAAACAATGGGGAGAAGCCAGGCAGCTGAAGCTCCCCCCACCCCATGGGATGGGGCAACTGGTGAGTCAGGCGCTGTAGGGCATAGGGTGATGGGTTTCCCACACTGGGCACTGCCAGATTCACCACAATGTGTGGCGTTTCCAGTGGCCCATCTGCTGAAGTCATTAGAAGCTACGAAATTTCGAAAAAAGGAATTACAGTTTAGACTGCATGACTAGTCAAGACTTCTCCATAAATATTATGGAACTCAAATATATGCCCTTTGTATCAGACTCCACTATCTGAATGTACAAATCTCCCTTACAATAAAAACATAAGGAGGTTCTCTGCTATGGATTTTTTAAGGTGTAGGGTAGGAATTATATTGTTCTTCAGATTTTGCAGGACTGTAGATCCTGCAAAATCTGGATATGATGACTGATATTGCAAAGAGTTCCAATTCAACAATACCTGGAGCGCCTCATTATTCCCACCTCTGATATTGCTCTAGTGAAGAAGGAATTTCACAGGAATGTATGTGGCCTCAGGCAAGAAACTGGATGTACTATCATTTTCAGGTCCTTGCTTATATAAAACATCTAATGCTCACAGACAACAAATCTATGCAAACAAGTTGTCTCAGGGCCCATCCAGACAGGTCCAAAACACGGGACATGTCTTGGTTTTTACTAGAGACGTCCAAACGGTGCCTCCAGTAAAAATGCATTAATTCGGTTTTCCTGCTTTGTTCCAAATTAATTTGATACCCCATTAGATCCGGGCCTTCCTAAAAGGGGTATTGGGCATATGGGGAATCACTTCCAAGTGGTCCTGGGACTACCCAGGGGTGAGTCCCCATTGGGCTACTAGAGCCCACAGGTGCAAGATATCTCCCATCCACCCCCAGTTTCCTCCTCGTGTCCCCCCCCCCCCAGTCGCCTGGCATGTCATTTCCTCGCATCCTCCTGCCACAAGGAAGGAACTCATGGTGGCCAAGTACCTTTTACTTAACTTTTAGGGGTAAAATGGGGAGCTTTGAGATGGCTGCATACCATCCTGATTTTAATCGGGATTGCATATAGCCACCCCGACCCTCCCAGGAAAACACATGAGGACACAAATCTGTACCAAAGCAAGTTATTTAAACCAACTTCAGCATGGAGTTGAGTCCTGTCTGGAAGTGCCCTAAGTTATCCAAACATCTCTGTCAACAAATGTATTTAATAGCCCACAAATTATTGTAGTTATACAAACTTCATGTTCAAGCAGGTCTCGTCTCAAATGGAAAAGGTTCTTCAGGGCACGTGCAACCACCTTCTTCCTTTTCTGCAGGAAATCCTGCTCATCTGCACAAAGTTCATATCCTAAGCGAACATCAAGATTCTGTGGCCTGGATCAGAGAGGGAGAAATTGAGAGCCATATCATAGTCTGAACATGGGCGAGCAATCGTGTTCAGAAATCCTACCACTTATTGCACTTTACTCCTATGTTTACAACTGAAAAACAGGTGTGATGGGAACCATCAAAGTTGCCCTTCTTGTTTCATAGCAACTGTAATTTAAAAAGCATCAATTCACAATTAATATCTTCAGCCAAATACCTATGCCACCAATTTGTTCCCACTCAACACATGTTATCTTGAAGCAGACATGAAAACTTGTTCAGATTTTATAGTTATAATAGTTACTTCTTGTACACAAAACATAGAGAATAGTTGAATGGTAATGGCACTTGTTTTTGAAAGAAAAGGGGAAAAAAGAAAATAAACTGCATGAATAAAGTTGTTAACGAACAACGTAATTAGCAAAATAGTGCTAACTGGGAGGAATTCTATACTTTTAGAGGCACATATTCATTATTCAGAAAAAGAAAAATGCTCTTGTCTTTTCTGCATGCCCTCAAGGCAGCAGTGCTAGAGAAGAGCACTTTAAAGAAATTAAAGATAGTATCTTACCAACCGGTTACTTGGAGGTACAAATCCAAAGGCACATCCTGAAAGTAAACAACATGAATGTGAAAACTATTTAATTAGTCAAATGCATTAGACATGTGGAAAAAGCAGTAAAAATGCAAAAATATTATGCTTTTCCATCTGACAAAAAGTGTGAAATCTATGCATAGTTGCATACATGCTAACTAGATTCATGGCATTCAGTGGAAATCTGCATCTCACATCTAACAGTTAATCCTTATTCAAATAGACCTACCAAATCAATTTCATTTAAAGAAGTTCTGATCTACAACCTTCCTGTGAAAAGGTGCCTGTAAGGACTAAGAATCCTGTTGAAGAAAAAGTCTGCCTGGATGCAGGAAAGGTTGTGAATGAAATATGTATGTTCCACCGAAAAGTATATCAGGTTGAACACCAGGGTAAAATGCAAAGAACACAGTTCAGAAACAGGATATGCTCAATATTTTGTAATAATTCTATATTAAATTGGTGGGAGATACAAAGAAAATTAGTGATATGCACAGTATGGAAATATCCTCAGTTTCTGCCATGGCTGGGGTGAGATTTTTGTTTGTTTTGTAAGGATTCTATATAGGATTGGTTTATTGCTTCTTTCGGGTAAAACATGGGCTTCCAAACCACAATCTACCTAGTGCTGCATCATTCAGTAAATAGTTGCATTTAGCATAGGAACAAAATCCATTCATAAAAATTAAAGGGTTAATTTCACCCCCATAGACCACTGATGCAATGATTGTACTGTACTAGAAAAGCTTTGATAGCCTCTATATCTCAACACTTTATGTATATATTAGTTATATATGCCTTTCTTTATGATGGGCACATACAATGGACTAAACAATCAGCTAGAATTACTCTATTAATTAGTGAGATCAGGCTTGGCCGAAAGTTGATTAAATTGTTTATAGCACTTTGTGGTGGTAATAGGTCTATGGACCTTGTCACAAGGCTGGTGGTGGGTGCGGCGGCCAGCAGTGGTGCTCCTCTTCAAGGTGAGATATGGAGCCCTTGTCTCACTTCATGAGGCAAGGCAAGATGAGGGCCACATTCCTCATCCTGAAAAGGAGCACTGCTGCTGGCCGCTGGCTGTCACTAGCCATGTGACAAGGTCATTAATCATGCTATTGAATATTTCAGTATGCAATGGAACAGATCTTTACTAATTAGGTTGGAAATAAACACAAAAGGGTTGTTCTAAAACTCAAGTCAAAAATAAATTATGCAACCTGACCTATTTATGTTGGCCATGGAGTCTAGCCACCTTATCACATTTCCCAGTCGTAGGACACTTCAGCCTCTTTTCAAGCATGGAGAGGCACTGAGCTCCTCACAAGAGTTAAACTACTTCTGGCTGTCATGCATAACCCTCCGTTGTTGAAAAGAGGCAGAAGTGTCCTGAAAGGAAGGAATTCTGGCAATCTGACCTCATCACATTGAGAAATTTCCCCCTCGTAGGACACTTCAGCTTTTTTTCAAGCATGGAGAGGCACAGAGCTCATCACATCTTCCAGGGTAGACAAGAGGCAGAAATGTCCTGAAAGGAGGGAACTCTGAACATGGGTGAGCAATTGTGTTCAGAACTCCTACCGCTTATTGCACTTTACTCCTATGTTTACAACTGAAAAACAGGTGTGATGGGAACCATCAAAATTGCCCTTCTTATTTCATTGCCCAACTTTCAGCAGTCTTTTGTATTCTATGTGGTTTGATGCAGAACAATATGATCCCATAGAAAATAATAACTTTAACCTGTATCACTGTCTCTTGTATCCTATGTGGTTTGATGCAGAACAATATGACCCCATAAAAAATAATGGCTTTAATCCAGATCACAGTCTCTTGTATCCTATGGAGTTTGGGGCAGAACAATAGAATCCCATGGAGAGAAGTGCTTGGTGCCAGTCACTGACTATAATAAATAGTTATAAGAAAGGAAAGGAAAGAACAAATCACCTCTAAAGATATGATGACAGTGAATTTAAAAGAGTTTTCTTAGGCCAAGTGTTTGCATAGATAGTTTGCCTTTGCCATCCTCTGAATATAGGCAACAGTGCCTGGTATTCATTCATGATCTGCATTCAGAAGAAACAACCATGCCTGATTCTCCCAACATCAGACAGATTCTAATTTTGAAGTATTACAGCAAATTCAACAATTACGGTATACTACATTGATAGAAAGATGAAAGTTTGTGTTATTCTTTCTTATAATTATATTTAGATTGACCAGTGTTCAGAATGTGAAAAGATAATTAAAAGAGTAAAACTTACATTCTCTGCCAATAAACATATTCTGATTGGCAATCCTACGGGAAGCCGTTTCAGAGGCAGAATGAAAGGGTAGGGACAATCATCATCTTTATCTGAAACATACTGGTAGGAAGAAGAAAAAACCATCTTAGACACGGTGAACAGATTCAACTAAAAAGTACAATTATATTTAAGTATAACCTTATTTTAGCATGTGTTTCAGCCATCAAATTCCCAAAGAGAAGTTACAGCAGCTACCTGTAGAAGCAATCTTAGGATCTGCATTGCAGCCCAAAAACAGTAGACCAGAATTTATTTTCCCAAAAGACATCCTGTGGTTTAAAGTCTGCATTTGTCTTTTTTCTGGTCCATGATCTTTTCTGACATTTCTCAAACCATGTTGGTGAAGTCAGTAGCAAAGCTACTAGAAACTCAATAATTACTATATAATAAAGCATTTTGCAATATATCACAGATCTGGTGCAATGACTTTATTTGACTTAATAGTCCTTTAAAGACTGTATGGTGTATGAACTGCACAAGGAAACTGAACATTTTACTACAAGCTGGTGACTGTGTCAAAAAAAAAAAAGACTGATTTGCTGCCTAGAGAAGTAGTTCAGAATAATAGGGCAATGAATGCCAAACTGAACATAAGACTGTGAAGAGCACAAGTCTTATGCTCAGAAGTACTCAGAAGTACCAAGTAGGCATCTAGTTGGTACTTCTAAGAATCCATAGAGTTCCCTTGCCCTTCATACCACTCTTCTCTCTCTTGATGATTTATTAGATATTTGTAAGATTTATTAATTAACTCACACTAATCTTAACATTCCTACTCCTCCCCATGTCTCTACCATACTTTTTGGGAAAATATTAATAAAAAGAATTATTTTTAAAAAGAAAATTCATAAAGAGATGGGTCTGGTATACATTCACTATGACTGCAAAATCACAAAAATAGAGAGGACTACACAGACTGCCCAAGGATGGAGGGAAGGGAAGATATTAGAGTTTGGACCAAGACAGATGGTTGGACTAGATGTGTTGGGATTATGGAGACACTTGTGGAGCAAACATAGATCTGTTTCTTTTAGTTCAGAGGTGGGACAACTGCAGAGGGTCCAGGTCCAGGAGCCATCTCATCATATTTCTGACATAGAGATCCAGTCTGTCATGGTCATATCCATTGATTTTTTTCAAACCCCAAAGTGATTGGAAGGTCATTTACAATTTTGAAGAGGCAGGGAGGATATGAAATATCGCAAACTTTTGGTGCTTTCAGTGTTGTAACTGTTAGTTTTAGGCTAAACAACTTGTTTTCTCCCAGAGACCAAAGACTCTAGGGCCCAGTGGGTGTTTCAGCAGGCTGCACAATCCAAACTCTTGCTTTAGTTCATAGCCAAATGGAATTTGTAAGTTATTTGGACATTGTAGGTTGAATCAGTTGAGTGGAGGGAAGGCCAAGTTTTAATATGATAAGGAACCATAGATATATGAAGCTGCCCTTTACCATCTGGTGCAGCATTTGAAGCGGATGGGAAACAGAAGAGAATGGTACTTTGAGAAGGGGTAGGTAATAATAGTAGTTATTATTAGTAGTAGTAGTTATTATTATTATTATTATTATTATTATTATTATTATTATTATATGCCACTTTTCTCCCACAAAGGGAGATCTTATCACATCATATTGCATTTAGCACCACCCAGTGGAGATTAGACCTTCTCATCTCTTCAGCCTAAGATTTATTCGATGTAGGCTTGCTTAAATAAAAAAAGTTTTCAGCTGTTGCTTGAACAATGTTAGGGATGGTGACATTTTGATTTCCCTGGGGAGGGTATTCCAAAGCCTCAGCGCGGCCACCAAGAAGGCCCTCTCTCTCATCACCACCAACCATGTTTAAGATGGTGACAAACGTGAAAGTAGGGTCTCTCCTGATGATCTTAGGGTTCATGCATGTTGGTGTGAAGAGATGCGGTCGCATAAGTAAGTTGAACCTGAACCATTAAGGCTTTAAAGGTCAGAACCAGCACCTTGAATTGGGCTCGGAAACAAACTGGCAGCCAATGAAGGTGCTGTAGCAGCAGGGTGGTGCACTCCCTGTGCTCAGAACCTATAAGTAGCCTGGGTGCAGCTCTTTGTAGTAGTTGAAGTTTCCGAACACTCTTCAAGGATAGTCCCACATACAGTGCATTACAGTTGTCTAGGTGGGATGTAACCAAGGCATGGACCACCACGGTCAGGTCTGGCTTCCCAAGGTACAGGCACAGGTAGCACGCAAGTTTTAATTGTGCAAAGACCCTCATGGACCCTGCTGACACCTGGACCTCCAGGTTTAGTGATGAGTCCAGAAGGACCCCAAAGCTGTGGACCTGTGACTTCAGGGGGAGTGTCACCTCATCCAGCTCAGGATGCCATCCTATACCCTCATCTGCTTTGCGACTGAGCAGGGGGTCCTCTGTCTTGTCTGGATTCAATTTCAATTTGTTTGTCCTCCTCCAGTCCATTACAACTGACAGGCATCAGTTCAGAGAGTGAGTGGCTTCCTTGGCTTTTGGTGGAAATGAGTAATAGAGCTGGGTGTCATCTGCATACAGGTGGCATCAAACTCAAAAACTCTGGATGATCTCTGCCAACAGCTTCATGTAGATCAGGGGTCCTCAACGTTCCTAATGCCGCGACCCCTTAATACAGTTCCTCCTGTGGTGGTGACCCCCAAACATAACATTATTTTCATTGCTACTTCATAATTGTAATTTTGCTACTGTTATGAATCGTAATGTAAATATCTGATATGCAAGATGTATTCTCATTCACTGGACCAAATTTGGCACAAATACTCAATATGCCCAAATTTGAATACTGGTGGGGTTGGGATAGGAGGATTGATTTTGTCATTTGGGAGTTGTAGTTGCTGGGATTTATAGTTCACCTACATTCAAAGAGCATTCTGAACTCTACCAACGATAGAATTGGAGCAAACTTGGCACACAGAACTCCCATGACCAACAGAAAATACTGGAAGGGTTTGGAGGGCATTGACCTTGAGTTTTGGAGTTGTAGTTTGCCTACATTCAGAGAGCACTTTGGACTCAAATAATGATGGATCTGGATCAAACTTGGCACGAATATTCAGTATGTCCAAATGTGAAAACTAGTGAAGTTCAGGGAAAATAGACCTTGACATTTGGGAATTGTAGTTGCTGAGATTTATAGTTCACCTACAACCAAAGAGCATTCTGAAGCCCACCAATGATAGAATTAGGCCAAACTTCCCACACAGAACTCCCATGATCAACAGAAAATACTGTCTGTGATGGTCTTTGGTGACTCCTCTGACACCCTCTCACGACCCCTTCAGGGGTCCCGACCCCCAGGTTGAGAACCGCTGATGTAGATGTTAAGCAACATGGGGAAAAGTATAGAGCCCTGCGAGACACCACAGAACAATGGTCATGGGGTAGAGCAGGAATCTCCCAATGCCACTTTCTGGGTCCATCCCTCCAGGAAAGAATGAAACCACTGTAAAACAGTTCCCCCAAGTTCCATCCCAGCCTGGCGACCCAGAAGGATACCATGGTAGATGGTACTGAAGGCTGCTGAGAGATCCAGGAGAGCCAACAGGGACGCACTCCCCCCCCCCCCCGGGTCTAGTTCTCTACGTAGATCATCTGCCAAGGTGACCAAAGCTGTCTCAGTCCCATAGTTGGGCCTGAGACCAGACTAAAATGGATCTAGATCAGTGGTTCTCAACCTGGGGTCCCCAGATGTTTTTGGACTTCAACTCCCAGAAACCCTTACAGCTGGTAAACTGACTGGGATTTCTGGGAGTTATAGGCCAAAAACATCTGGGGACCCCAGGTTGAGAACCACTGATCTAGATAATCTGATTCATCCAGGAATCCCTGGAGTTGCAAGGCCACCATGTGTTCCAGGACATTGCCCAAGAAGGGGAGATTAGAAACTGGGTAGTAATTACCCATTCCAGCTGGATCCAATGATGGTTTCTTTAATAGAGAAAAATCTAGTTCACAATTTTCTTTTTATACTTTCTTAGTACTTCCTCTGGCACAAAATAACAGGAAGTGGTCCTTACCTGAAGCTTGACTTTTAGTACTGGATCCCAGCTTTTTACACAGTGGAAGAGGAAAGAATCTCTATCTTTGGATGTCTTCTGTGTTTCTTCATAGGACTCTTGCACCGTGAGCACAACATGTATGTTAGCTAAACAACAACAACAACAATTTAATTACATACTTCTGTTCCATAAGAATTTGTAGATCCTTTCCCCATAGAGATTTGCTCTATAAAATTGTAAATGGACAAGTTAACTTTAAAACACCAAATAGTACATAAATTAACTTTAAAGCATGATCACTGTGATCTACATGTAATGAAAAACATTGTGCTCATCTGTTTAGTACACATGTGTTATTTTCACCATTTAGGAAACAAGACAAGACAGTTTCCAGAATTCAAAACCTGCTAAAATTCAACTTTAACATTAATATTTTAAAGATGAAATTTCAAATTCCACCATACATAAATTTACCTTAAACACCAAACCAACTATCAGATACAAATCCCTACTTGCCAAACATCACAAATTGCAAAACATTAAGCACTAAAACCAAATAAAATTAGTAGAAGCTATCTCTGAACATGCAGTCACTTTTTGAGATCAATAGATTGAAAATCTTTCAATTGGTTATAAATAACAGTGATTTACTGAGCAAATTTTCAATGTTAAGAAAAGTAATGCACCAGCCTGTCACTAGTATTATGTATAATTTTTTACATTAAAAATAATCAACTTTGCTAGTGTGCTATCAAATCAATCAAGTTGCCTTTTTAGATAATTAGAAACTGTTTTTAATTGATCAATCAAAAATAAAGGCCCAAGAAACAAGACACAAATGGACAGAGGCTGATGATACACTACTTGGAATTATGCCTGAGAGAGACCAACCTTCCAACAGCTTCTCATTCCCTTCTCTGTTCACCCTGATATCCAAAATGGAGAGCTCACGGGCCTAAGAAAATGAAAGGCACAATGATCTAGGGATATTGCAAGGATATTTCCACCAAATATCCCTGTAACTGGGATATTTGGTGGAAAAATCTGACTCAAATATTATCATGGGTGTTATTTCATTGCATCTTTTTCTTTCTTTTTTTCTCACCATACAAATCAGAGTACAGTTCTCACTATCTGCCTCTCCTTGTGGCTTGAGGCAGGGTACAACACGGTTAATTAGCAAAATAAAACACAAAACTATTAAAATGTATATAACAAATATACAAAGGTAAAATATAGATTAAAATTCACCGTAAAATTCATGTTAATATTCATGAGTTGAAATTGACTGAGTAGAAGAGATATGTCTTTAGCTGTGTCTTAAATTCTGACACCTGTCAGATCTTTTCCAGTAGGTTATCCCACAGTCATTGGGCAGCCAATGAAAAGGTCTTCTGGGGGATGATGGACAGTCAGGTTTTGGCTGGTTGGAGTAAAGGCCCTCCAGAGACCTCAGTGTCTGAAGTGCATTGTACAGGAGAAGGCAATCCTGTAGGTAACCTAGACTCAAACCTTGTAGGTCAAAACCAACATTTTAACTTTGCCAGGAAACTAATTGGCAGTCAGTGGAGTGATTTTAGCATAGGCGTGATATGCTAACTCTTAGATGTTCCTGTAACTAGTCTGGCTGCTATGTTTTGAACTAATTGGAGTTTCCGAACATGGTACAGAGGTAGCTCAGAATAAAACGCTACAGAATAAAACACCTTTGCAGAGTATACTGGTTAACCAAGACTTGTTGATCCACTTTTCAAGAACACTGTCAGTAGACTACTTGCCTCTAATATCGAGCTTTTTTGATAAATGAACCCAACTACCTGATTAAGACTCCTGTGAGTCGAAACCAGTTGAATGCTGGAGTCTACTCTTGTGTAATAAAGAAAATAGGACATTTACTGTGCAAGGACTTGGGGTCTACTCATCTGTAGTAAAGACACAAATACTATTAGGTTCTTGTGGGTTTTTTCAGGCTATAGAGCCATGTTCTAGAGGCATTTCTCCTGACGTTTCGCCTGTATCTATGGCAAGCATCTATGGAGGCGAAACGTCAGGAGAAATGCCTCTAGAACATGGCTCTATAGCCCGAAAAAACCCACAAGAAACTAGTGATTCCAGCCATGAAAGCCTTCGGCAATACACAAATATTATTTCCACACACATGAAGATTTTTTTCATCTTTCAGGAAAAGAACAATTTTTTTTTGTTAAATGTGAATGTAACAATCCTATGTTTTACTGACACTTGTATTTGTACGTATACATTGAGCTTCTATGTGTTTAGATACATTTGCATTACTGCCGTTAGTGGATATTGAAAGAAGTAGTAATTGGGACACACACCTCTTGTCAACGTTAAGATTGAGATCATACACTAAAGTGACCATAGCAGTCTCAACTCTGTATCATTCCCCAAAGCCAGTTTGAAATAAACCAAGGAGGTGTGTGTCATCCAAGACTGCCTGGAGCTGGAGGGCAACTGCCTTCTCAATTACCTTGCCCCCAAAAAGTGATTGAAACACTGGTCTGTAATTATTAAGGTCCAGGGGATCCAGGGAGGGCTTTTTCAGAAGCAGTCTAACTGCTGTTTCTTTTAAGCAAGTTGGAAAGTTCCCCTCCCTGAGAGATGCATTCATAATATGTTGTATTTGAGATTGAATTGCATCTCCTCCCTGAACAACCAGCCAAGAGGGACAGAGATCAAGAAAGCAGGGTGTTTTCTCAGCAGTTTGTCCACATCAATAGTACTCACCAGTTGAAACTGAGCCAATGTAATCCCACTCACAGAGTTGCTGGACACCTTGTTATCAACTTCTGCTCCGATAAGAATAAGAACAAAAAAAACTTAAATGCAAAACAAGAAATCTTACCGCTAGAACACCATTGGAAATGAGTTGTTCAGGAGGTCCTAAACTGAAATGCAGAAAATAAAAGAAAGAAAAGGGAACGAATAAGATTCAGGAAAGGTTGTTAATAAATTATTCAAAAGGTTTAGAATATGATAGGCAAAGTGTGTCCCAAGGATTGTAAGTAGGCCCCGGCCCACAGGCCTCAGGCATCTATCATTCTAAGACCAGGTGAGATTTTTAAAAAAAAGAAAAAAAAAGAAAGTAAATTCCAGGTTTTTAAATAAAAGTTCTCACTGGGGAGTGGGGGAAAATGTGGTGAAGAAACCTCTCCTACTCTCTCCTGCATTTAAAGTAGTGGGGAGGCATCCTTCCCTCTCATGGTTGTTCACATCATTTTAGAAGTAAGTAGAGATGAGCAATCGGTTCCCTAGAACTTTCAAAAGTAATATGTCTCTTGGGAGGTGAAATGCATAGATCCTGAGCATATCGTTTGCAAACCAAAACAGAATTAGGGTCAAGAAGCTACAAAAGATTTAATATAGAGTCTAGAGGTCTTTAAGTAATTATTTTAAGTGATGTGTTTTAATTAAGTGATTTAAAAGTTTATGTTGTGTATTTTTATATATATTCAAGGCATCAAATTGTGCCTCTGTTGTGAACCGCCCTTTGGGGTGAGAAGGACATGATATAAATTTTGAGATAACAAAATAATAATACTACTGAGGCTGGATCTACACTGCCATATAATCCAGATTATCAAATCAGATAATCCACATTATCTGATTTGAACTGGATTGTGTGTGTTTACATCCAGTTCAAAGCACATAATCTGGATTTTATATATGGCAGTGTAGATCCAGCCTGAGTTGAGTTGATTTGTAAAGAAAACATTATGAATGGGATTTTTCTTTTAAGTTTTTTGGGTGGAAAAATAGGAGGTACCGTGTTTCCTACTGTACTGTAATAAACAAGAAATCCCTTAGAGGATGAAAACCTACATGCAAATACAAGCTGTACTAAGTTTATAGGGAACCAAAACTACACATAGAGTTTACACTGGAATAGATAAATGCTTCACCAAGGTGTAAAGTTTATGTTTCCTCTGCATGTGTACTAGGCAAGACAGGTCTCTCTGGGTGCACAGATAAATCAATAATGATCAAATAGAATAAATCATAATTATTATAGTAGTCATATTTTATTAATGGTATAGATTAAGAAAAACAATTAAGTAATTTAGCTCATTGTCACCATTGTTATGTGCATTCAAGTCAATTCCAACTTCTGAGGTACAATATTAGGGATTTATAGATAAGATTTAATCAAGATAATGATTTATTGCTATTTCTGTCCTCTGTAGCTGGAAGTATGTGACTTCTTTAAGGGGAGTTGAAATCCAGTCTCCCAAATCCTGGTCTCTCTGTACTTCATCACACATAATGTAAAATAATATCATTCCTCAAATATTTCTTTTCTCTATCTCCCCCATCTTCAACAGGTACATCTGGGGGGACGGGGACATGTAAGAGTGACTCCTTGGTCTCTTGAACTCCCTTCCTACCACCTCATCCCACAGGGGTAAAATAGCCCTTGCTCCTTTTCAGCCATGGGGTCTACCGAGCACCATCACATGACGCAGGCCATGCCCTGCCCCATTCATGGCCAAAGTGACAAGGAGGCGTAGGAAGATGCTTCCTCTCTAACAATGAAAAGTAAGTTGTCTTCTGATGGAGCTACCCACAGTTTTGCTCCTTTCCCCCCGTCTGATGGGAGCAGGGACAGGGCACCTTGCCCCGATGCCCCCAGGTGATGGGGGAAGAAGGGAGGGTGTGCGGGTCACTGTGAGGTGCCAGGTGTGCCTTCCGTTTCCTGGCAAAATGGAATAAAACGGGGAAGGCAGCAATATGATGATGTCCCTATAGAGGTAATACTGACATCTTCCTTGGTTTCCTTTCTTTCATAGGTTAGAAATGCTCATGGAGTGTTATACTGATATAGGAAAAAAAATAAAAATGTATGAAGCACTATTAAAACCCAATATTCATAGGAACACAGAAACTTCTATTCCTAGTAGAAAGCCAAAGTAAAAGAAAAATTCCCAAGAATACACAACATATTTATTATTATTATTATTATTATTATTATTATTATTATTATTATTATCTTACAACTTTGTATCAAACAAATCACTTACATTTCTGCCAACTTGAATTCCACTTCCAGAGATTCAAAATTATAGGGACAGTGTTCATCCTGAGAATATCAAAATTATTGATTAAATGACCAATTGCCCAACAAATGCAGAAATGAAAATTATGCACTATGAAAATATTCCACTGAGCTGCCAATCTTTCAGCCAATCTATTTCTGTCATCTCAAACATCTATGAAATCCCATTTTGTTTTGTTGGCAAGACTGTAGTTTTCCATTTCTAAGCAAAAGGCAGCTTCACTTTGCTTAGAAATGGAAATATTAAAACTTAAGAACAAAATGATTCATCTCATTCCTGGAACTTATATGACTAATATTGATACGGCCTATTTTAAACCCCCAGTCAAGGTTGTGTTTTATTGAGTATCTTATTTAATTTAGTAGGGATTTTATGCTGTTTTATGTATGTTGTTCTATGTAAATTGTCATAGTTATTAATTTTATTGTATCTTGTGCATTTTACTGCACTATTGTGTGCTTTTGTAAGCTGCTCCGGATCTCTTTTGGGAGATGGTGGTGGGATATAAATTAAGCTTTATTATTATTATTATTAGAAACACAAAAAGATTAGTACACAGCAAACAAGGTCACTCTGCTGGCTATTGTATTGGATCATATGCCGGACGCTTCCCAAGTGTCCAGGACTGTGTGATATATCAGCGAATAATGAGTACAGATCCCAGTTATTATTATTATTATTATTATTATTATTAGTAGTAGTAGTAGTAGTAGTATTTACTCTTAAAACCATATAAGACACCAATTTAAAATCCAAGTCTTTAATTTGTTCTTTGAGAAGTGAAATTGTGGATATTGTTCTTTCATTAGTTGCAGTAAGAAAAATTCTAGTTTTAGATCAACTTTAGTTTTTAAAATATCACACTTTTCTCAACATGATTTTGAGAATGTCTGAAAAAAATTGGAATATTTATTCAAGTCCTGATCCTCCCACTGCTTCACTTCCTGGATCTTACAGGAATTGCATTTCAGAGGCACAAAAAGCTCAAGAAATGTAGCATTTACTATTCCCAGATACCTAATACCTAAGCATGTTTCATTTGAAGAGCAAATGCAGTCAAAGTACAAATGCAAGCAAAGTACAAAATGTTGATTTTGTCCTTTCAAGCCCTACATGATTTGGGTTAAGGTTACCTACAGCAGTGGTTCTCAACCTGTGGGTCCCCAGGTTGAGTTTACCAGCTGTTAGGATTTCTGGGAGTTGAAGACCAAAACATCTGGGACCCTACAGGTTGAGAACCACTGACCCAGGCATGTAGCCTGGGCGGGGGGGGGGGGGCTTGAGGGGCTTCAGCGCCCCCCCCCCGAAATTCTCATGGTGGTTCGCGAAAAAGCCTTACTGGTGCATTATTTAAACTGTTATGTTTATTCATATCATGATCTGATCACCATACTCAATATATCCCATATGCATGGGGGTATTGGGGTAATGATACAAAAGGTTTGCTAGGCTAGACCCTCTTTCACTCAGACTCAGCCCCGCCCCCCGAAACCCCCCCTGAAAATTTTTTAGCCCCCCCCCCCCGAAACGAAATCCTGGCTACTTTTCATCGGCCGCCGCAAGACTGTGGAACGATCTGCCAGAAGAGCTCCAACAACTTGCATTTTAATCTTTTTTCTATGTATTTTGATATGTGTTTTGTAGGGACATGTTTTTCTATATGTATTTTATAGAAAGTTTTTACATGATTGTGTTTTTTTAGCAATGTTGTAAACCACCTGGAGCCATGAGGAGAGGCAGGTAAAAAATACAGTTGTTGTTATTGTTGTTGTTGTTGTTATTGTTGTTGTTGTTGTCTTAAGGTTAACTTTCTAACCCTCACCTCTGGTTTTAAAGAAAATATCTCCCGATCTGTTGCTCCAGGCCGGATTTTTGCCAAATCAAACAGGACAGTAAACTGTATGTCATCTGAGGTGACTGGATCCGCATCGCAGACTTGCAACACTAAGATATTCTAGGAAACAGGGAAAAATATTCTTAAAGCTGTGTATTTGTTTTTACAGCCATTTTTGCTTTATCTGTTTTTTATTCATTTTTGCTTTATTTGTTCTTTCATATCAGTAGACTTTTTCCACCTGAAATAAATGGAATATGGATGGCAGCTTGTGACAAACATTCTGTTAATCAGTACCTTTCTTGCTGTGGCTAACAAACTTCTACTTTTGGATGCTTCCACAGACAAGGACCACCGGGACTGAACTCTGTGTAAATAACAAAGACCTCAAAGGAATCTTTTCTTCTTTTATAAAAGTTGTTGAAAGATATGCCAAGTGTCTCGAGTATCTCAGTTACTTCCACGTCTATATGTTTTCTCTGTTTCTCAAGGGATTTACATTTTGCAAGATACATTTTATTCTAAAAACAGGTAAAATATAGCACAGCATAGCATATAACATTCTTTGGCTAAAAATAATATATAAATTCAAAGTGGACAACTATTTTTCCAGCACATACAGAGGAGTAGTTAACATGTGGGAAACTTTTCCATGCCCACAAGCATGCATGGATCCTTAGCCAAGGGATAGAGAGAGTATATCAACTGCAATACGACAAAACTGAATATGACAAATATGCATTGGTATCTAAGTGCATGTTTACTGAAATATAAATATCATCAGCTGGTGAGGAAAGCTGGCAATTATTAGGATCCCAACAGCCTTTCTTCTCCTACAGCAGTCCTTGGGGAAATATTCCCCCTGTATGTAATATTTGCAATAGAAGGACAAAACATAAATGAATCCACTCTGTTCCAACTTCATTGAATTCTGATAATTACCATTCCTCCTGTTACCTGATACATTTGCATTTTTTTTAAAAAAAAAAAACCTACATGGTAAATGCATCTCCTCTTGTTTGGGCCAAGAGCAAACTCTCTGCCTCTCAGAAATGCGTAAGGATTAGTTTCAACACCAAAACATAGGAGGCTATCTCCCTCCAATCACTGAACTCATCTTTTCACATAACGACTTGAACTCAGACCTTTTGGTCATACAAACATTTCAGCAGGAGAGTCAAAAGACTTTATCACACAAGGCAGACAAAGCAGCATTGACAGTGTCTATTACACAACACCATGTGCATCCTGCTATTACTTTGCCTCCCCTCAATTATCTCGTTCCTAATTATTAATGGATGAAACCCCAATAGCTCCCCATCTCACTACATTTCTACAATGTACTGTAGTTCACTGTGCCTCTTCTCCTTCTGTGTTGTGCTGGTATAAATGTGATGCAGTGAGAGGGATATCTACTAGGCCTGTGCGGTTTCGTTCGTTAATTCGTTAATTCGTTAAACATTCGTTATTTTTGGCATTTCCGAAGCGATATCAAAACACATTTTCAAACCCGGAAGGGTTTAAAAATATCGAACCGGCAACCCCCATAGATTTAACAAGCTTCCGCTCGTTTCGTTAATGGGATGGAGGCTGCTGGTGCCTGGGAGCCAATCCGGCGCTCCCAAGCAGTGCCTAGGATCAGCCCCCCAGAGTTGTCTCCGAGGAGGAGGAGGAGGAGGCGCCACTTACCATCATGTTCCCTTGCATTTTTGCCGTTTTGATCATGGCCTTTTCCTTCATTTTGATGGAGAGGAGAGGAGAGAGAGAAGGAAGGAGAGAAGGACGGCGCGGAGGAGCCGGGAAGGAGGAACTCGCCTTCGCCGCCGCCGCCGCTCCCTCGGCCCATGGAGGCTTTACTACTTAATAATCCACCGTCTTGGCCACTTTAGCCAGGAAGCGGGCTTTACACTTGCCAGGAGATGTGTTTATTCGTGGGGAAGCGGCGGAGGGAGGGGGGGGGGGCAAGGGGAGAGAGAGAGAGAGAGAGACGGGAAGCGCGAGGAGGAGAGAGGAGGAGGAGCAGGGGGAGAGTTGGGATGTTTTCTTTTCTGTTTCTTTTCAAGCTCAACGCCCTCTTTTGAAAAAACAACAGGAATCATAACAGAGGTGGGGGGCTCCTCGTCCCTGCCTTACTTCTTGCCGTAGCCAAGAAGGAAAAGGAACGGATTCCAAGGGAGGAAACGCTCTCCGCTTTCAGTCAGAAGAGCAGCCTCTCCGCGCCTCGGCTTCCCTCCCTCGCCGTCTCTCTCATTCCCACGGCCACCACAAACCCGACATGGCCATGAACCACCACCACCACCGCTGCTGCTGTTGCTCTGCTGAGGTTGGGCGTGAGATTGACCTCAAGTAACACCACTTTGAATTGGGGGGGGGTCTCCTGTGTGCCTTTCCTACAGGAAATACTGCTTCCTGCCAGGGCGTGTCCCTTTCCTTGCCTTTTCTTTCCTTCCTTCCTTTCCCCTTTCTTTCCTCCCCTCTCCTTTCCTTTCCTCTCCTTCCCTTTCCTCTCCTTCCCTTCCATCTCCTTTCCTTTCCACACCTTCTTTTCCCTTCCCTCTCCTTTGCTTTATTTTCCTTCCTGTCCCACTCCTTCCCTTTCCTCTCCTTACTTTCCTTTTAATATTATTTTAATATTATTCTTAAAAAATATTCTAAAAAAGAAAAGACTCTTCTGTTGGTGTGTGCTCTCATTTGCTGTCTCCTGCCTGTGTTTGGTCCACATTTGGGCCATTTTTTGGTTAATTTCCCATTTTTAAATATTTTTTAATATTATTTTTTAATATTATTTTTTAATACCAAAAATATTCTAAAAATTCGTTAATATTTACGAAATTTCGTAAATACCAAAACTTTTTTGGGGAAAGTTTTGTAATTATTTTAAATATCGAAACAAAAAAACACCCCAATTACAAATCGATTTTAGAAACAAATTTTTTCTTGATCAAACAGGCCTAATATCTACCTCTCTTTTCCATCCTTAGCCCAAAGTGGTTGCTTTTTGCTTATTTTATAATTTTATGTTCATATCTTTGCTGATTTTTAAAGCTAGAATTGTGCTATTACACACACACACACACACAAAATTAAAAAACCCAATATAAATCAATTTCAAGGTATGCTTGGCAGGAAAGTGGGGTTTCAAGGGTGTGGAGTCGTCTGATTGAAGAAGTACGGCTTGTCAAACTACTGCAATCACATTACTAAAAAGAAGTGAGACATCAAAGGTGCTCAAGTCACTATGTATCCATTATTTACACCAGACCTGAACATCCTGATTGAAATGTTTTTGGTACTTCCAGGTCTTTGGTCCTCCAAATACCAGGTCAGGAATTCTGAGAGCTGAATTCCAGGTTGAGCAGGACTGATCTACACTAATGTGAATGTTGAAACACAGCAGGTTGGAGTTATGAAGTCGAAAGACTTTCTGGTAATCCCTTTTTTTTTCTTTGAAGATCCCCATCGAGCATCATCCTTCGTGGGGGGTTTTAAGCGTCTTTGTTGCAACTTTTTAAAACATCTTTGTCTACCCAGTATTCTGCTTTCCAAAGAAGTGGATAGCATCTTGAGTAACTTACCTTACCTTGATCTCAGTCTGGATTCTAAACCAGAATGTCTCATTCCAGACTGGGTTATAAGAGTCCTGGACTGTTTGGGTTCTAAATTTCTTATGAGATGCTGTTGGCAGATGCAAAGTCACGTAGCAATCTGATGGAGACACTGCAGAGCAGGAGATGGAAGTGTTTGTTAATATTGAAAATTTAGTCACCAATTTAAGAAGGACAAAAGAGAAGAGTGAGCCATGGTTTCATAAAAGATTTTAAAATGGGTGTGGCAGCAGCTATTTCTGAAAGCAATTTCCTGGTCAAGATCTGCTTTGAACTATAATTACATTATATAATTATATATAATGGGCCAGTCTGCTACCGAGCACAATTCAAAGTGCTGGCTTTAGCCTATAAAGCCTTAAACGGTTCTGGCCCAGCTTACCTGTCTGAATGGATCGCCACCTATGAAACATCTCGGAGATTAAGATTGTCTGGGGATGCCCTGCTCTCGGTCCCACCACCTCTGCAGGTGCAACTGGTGGAAATGAGAGTCAGGGCCTTCTCGGTGGTGATCCCTCAGCTGTGGAACTCCCTCCCCAGCAATGTTAGTTCAGCCCCCTCCCTCCTGACATTCAGAAAAAAAGTGAAACTGTGGCTCTGGGATCAAGCCTTCAGGGAACAACCATAGTGTAATTAGATTAGCTGGAACTATGTGAAATGACTACTGGAATGATCTGAGGCCAAAGCAGTAAGAAGAGAGAAAAAACTCAGGTGCCATTAATAGGGCAAAAAGAGATTCTATCAACAGAAAAAATCATAAACTATTATAAACAGCATGATGCATTTTGCAACCAACCCTGTATTTTATTCTATTTTATTTTGCTATGAAAAACTTCACCTGAAAAAGTATATCTCAAATTTGAATGTACACACCATTTCAAACCAAACAGTAGGAATCTGCCATATAAAAGGTATCATTTGCCATTCTTTATCTTTTTTAAGGCTTCTGTTTGTACAAGGTCAGTATAGCTATGTGGGCTGAGATGACCTTTTCATTCCTTTCAATACATTCTATGAACTATTGTCCTTTTGACCTACTTCAGAAGACAACCAGTCATTTGCAATAGTCAAGGCATGCATAAATAAATTTAACTGAAATATCTGATAGGAATCCTTATGTATGACTAACGGTTGCAACCAAGTCGTACACCAGTGCATTCAAACTGATTGCGGACTCTGTTTCAGAGTATCCCAAACTCTGCTTATTCCGTTTTAAAGCCCTGAATGCATTTTACCACATTTGTTCACATGTCTGTTTCCTTTAAACATTGCGTTCACAAACTGCCTTCAAACTGCATTAAGTGGTCAGTGTAGATGTGCCTTGAGACATCGAGCAGCTGATTCAAACTGCAGGAACGGGGATTTTACTAAACACAAGGAAAGACATCCTGATGATAAGAACTGTCCAACAGTGCAATATGCTGCCTTGGAGTATGGTAGGGGACACCTTTTTGGAGGGTTTTTAAATTGGGCTGGAGGGGCATTTCTTGGGAGTGCTTTGATTGTATTTTCCTGCATGACATAGGGTTGGACCAGATGGACCTTGGGGTCTCTTCCAACTGATTCTATTACTCTGATCCCAAATATTTTAGATAAGGGATACTCAACATCTAACATTTCATCTACAGCTTCTTCTCATGTATATTTTGAGCCTAGTGGTACAATGAAAGATGCATACTACTTACATGTATCTTTGGAGGTGATTATATTGGCTCTTATTATTCTGACAGACAGAAGGGAAACAGGATACTGCTGAATCTGGAATAAAGCAAAGTCAATGAACTATATACAACAGCTATATACAACAGTCTTCCAGGCACACCTTGGTTAATATTGGGTTTTGTTTACCACCTCAAATAACAAAACCTCTGACAATGAAGCTCGCTTTTACAAAGTCTTTTTATGCACATTGAGACCCTCCTGGAACTGAGACTGTCACAAGAGGCCATGATTCGGTAGGAAAGAAAATTATACTTGATAAGGTAGAAGGCAGTTGGAAAAGAGGAAGTCTATACTCCGGGTGGATAGAGTCAATCTAGGAATCCAGGGCTATGAATCTCCAAGACCTAAGCAAAGCTGTTGAGGACAGGGGGAGTTGGCAGTCTCTCATTCACAGTCACAATAATTCAAAATCAACTTAAGAAGAAGAAGAAGAAGAAGAAGAAGAAGAAGAAGAAGAAGAAGAGGAGGAGGAGGAGGAGGAGGAGGAGGAGGAGGAGGAGGAGGAGGAGGAGGAGGAGGAGGAGGAGGAGGAAGAGGAAGAGGAAGAGGAAGAGGAAGAGGAAGAGGAAGAGGAAGAGGAAGAGGAAGAGGAAGAGGAAGAAGAAGAAGAAGAAGAAGAAGAAGAAGAAGAAGAAGAAGAAGAAGAAGAAGAAGAAGAAGAAGAAGAATATAAACATTATTTTCATCCCACCATATCTCCCAAAGTGGATTTAGGGCAGTTCACAACAAAAAAATAGGCAAACATTCAATGCCGACATAAAAAACAAACAGATCAAATCATAACAATAAGATAAACCACATCAAGGTGTACTTATAAAAAATTAGATATACAAATAAATTTGTTTAAGCAATAAATCCAATCATAAAATAATTAAAACATTAGAAGTATAATGCAATTTGCTGGAAGCCAGCAAGCTGAAGGAAGATTTTCATTATCTAAGTCAGGATGTTTAGTAGAGTGCTTATCCTTCTCCTCCCCATAAGCTAGATTGCATAAATGAGTTTTTAACAGCTTCTTAAAGGAGAGGAGGGAAGGGGCAGTTTTAATTCTTTAGGGAAGGAGTTTCAGAGGCGGGGAGGAATCACGGAGAAGGCCCCCTCTCTCATTCCCACCAGCTGTGCTTGAGACAGGGGTGGGACCAAGAGCAGGGCCTCCCCTGCAGATCACAACATCCATGCCAGTTTGTAAGCTGGCGGTTTTTCAAATAGTCTGGACCCAAACCATTTAGGTAATAACCAGCACTTTGTATTTAGCCCAGAAGCAGACTGGCAGCCAGTGGAGCTGCCGTAACAAGGAAGTGGTTCTCACCCTGTTTACTAACTGGAGTGCCGTACAGGGAGATAACCACTTCCATGTTACCTGACTGATGATCTCTGAACTAGTTGAAGCTTCCAAACTTCAAATGCAGTCCCATGTAGAGAGTGTTGCAGTAGTCCAGATGGGAAGTTACCAAGGTGTGTACTACCATAGCCAGATCTGGTGAGTCAAGGTATGAGAGCAGCTGGTACACAAGTTTTAATTGTGCAAAGGTGCTCCTGGCCACCGCCGACACCTCTGGTTCCAGGGTCAGCAATGAGTCCAGGATCACCCCAGACTGCAAACCTGTGTCTTCAGAGGGAATGTGACCCCAACCATGCACAGGTTGTAATGGCAGTTAAAAGCAACACATTGGAAAGCTCAAGTTTATTCCATTTTGGAACAAGCTTTCATGTGGGTTCTGCAAGTGTGAAAATCCTGGAGTGATTAGATCTTTTGAAGATGCCAGCCACAGATGCAGGTGAAACGTCAGGAGAACACGGCCATACAGTCAGGAAACCACACAACACTCCAGTGATTCTGACAGTGAAAACGCTCGAAAATTTCATGAAAATCCTTTTGTTTAAAGTTTATCTGGCCTGGTTGTTTCATCACACATGACAAAATTGTTAATTTTGCATACGATGTTTGCCTGTGGCACCAAATTTTCTGTTAAAAAAAGTAATGCCTAGGAACACATCTACTTCGCTATCTAACATCTACCTGTAATTCTATATTATTGTATGATAAAATATCAGCCTAGACACCAAATATGGCCTGTGGAGTACTTCATGCATGCCAACCTTCTACTTCCCCCATCTCGTCACATTTGACATATCGCATTTCCCTAACATTGCAGGAAACTCCTTTAGGGCTCCTTGGAAATAAATCAGTCATCATCAGTAATTGCTATCAAGCTTTCCTGAAAGGCATGTATCATCCATTTCAGGGATACACATTTTTGCTCTTAATTTGTTTTGATCACAGTAATGATATATTTGGAATGTTTTTTCTCCACCAGGAACTAGATTATGACTGTTCTTGCATTATGTGATTATATATATTTCTGCATTTTAAACCTTTGTTTTTTAAAGAAATCAGCAAAATGTCATCTCCCTTCCCAGACACACACACAATTTTGTCACAGAAAGTAGCACTTTTTACACAAAACATGGGGGGGGGGTTGGGGGGGAGAATCCTCTCCCCACTATTTCTGGATAGGTATGTGATTATTTGTGCAAGCCTAATTATTTGGGGGGAGGGGAGTTCTTACACAAGGAATAGCAATCTTTTAATAAAAATGTGAAAACTCACATAAATTTCTGTGCAGGATAACATTTTGAGATAATTCTCACCATGGGTGTCAACTGCATAGAAATATTCATTTTCTCCCCAGCTTGAAGAAAATATAGAGAAATTGTTTGCCCTCAACTTTGAAGATAAAAGAGTTGAATATTTACATCCCTAGTGTTGACTATTCCTAGTTTTTCTGTCAACCAAGTTACCCAGAGGAGGAAATATATCAACAATGTGCAAAATATGACCTCTGGTTTGTATGTAGCCCCCCAAACCCAGTTTTTGCAACCATGTAAGCCCCCGGTGGCGCAGTGGGTTAAAGCACTGAGCTGCTGAGCTTGTTGAACGAAAGGTGGCAGGTTCGATTCCAGGGAGCGGCGTGAGCTTCCGCTGTCAGCCCTAGCTTCCGCCAACCTAGCAGTTCGAAAACATTCAAATGTGAGAAGATCAATAGGTACCACTCCGGCGGGAAGGTAACTGCGCTCCATGCAGTCATGCCGGCCACATGACCTTGGAGGTGTCTATGGACAACGCTGGCTCTTTGGCTTAGAAATGGAGATGAGCACCACACCCCAGAGTCAGACATGACTGGACTTAATGTCAGGGGACTACCTTTACCTTTTTAGCCTCCAGAGCTCTCCTTACATTTTAAAAAAGTTGGCTCAAAATGTATTAAAAATTACTGAAGGCCGCCAGTTGTGACAGTTGCATATGGAAACAGTGAAGTGCAAAGTTTCCCTAAATGCCAAATCAGAAAATTGCCCCATAGTCGCTCATAATTTGCCACCACTGAAGTAGGTCGAAGAGCTTTATGTCAAACAGTTGAATTTGCATTGTATCCTCTAGGATTACCTGATGAAGAGGCCTCCGGGTTTCTAAACTATCCCAATTGACCCTAATTGGAGTTCCTCCATCCCATTATCATGGTAATCAGGAAATGATGCTTCATTTCCAGATCTCTTAGGTGGAGCCCTGTGGCAATTGTGTGTCTGTGCAACACATTCTTGATTCAGGCAGAGATAAGGTGCTGGCAAAGCTGGGATCCACACCCATCTTGAACTTCTAGATCACTACTTAAGACCCAGGAGTGCATGGAAAAATTCAAAATACAAAGAATTTCCTGAAGACAGAGATGACTAAGTACACTAAGTGCAAAAGGAAATGGCAAAGACAATTAAGTCACCTATAGGATTATGGACAGAATGACTAGAAATGCCTATCCTAATATATTTGATGTTAATGTTCTACTGAAAATGATGAACTGGCTTGCTATCATGTGAAGGATTTTTGGATGCCACAGGTAAAAAGCGAGACAAGTCCCACATTTTGGGCTGTTCGGGAGGGCCCTCAGTTTATCCTTCAGAGATCACTGACATTTATTTGTTTAGACTCCAGTAGTTCTTATCCTGTGAGCCGTGGATCACCAGTAGGCAGTGAGGATGAAAATCTGGCTCACAAGCCTCCTTCCTCTTTGTTTTTTTATTTTATTTCTGCTCCTTTTGCACCACCTGCTACTCCTTCCCTGTCACTGATCATGGCATATGTTCTGTATCAGAAACTAGAGCTGATGTGATTTATCCAATGGAATTTTCTGAATCAGCACCTCAAACTAAATCTAAAGTTGATCAAAAACTGATTTATAACCCTTTTGGTACTAAGGAACCACTGAGGGGTGAAGTAAATCAGAAGTGAATGCTGATTATTTCCTGTTGTGATAAAAGTCTCTTCAGAGCCTAAAATGGGCTGCAAAAGAAAAAAGAGTTTTGATGGTAGGTCTTTTGGGGAGGGCAACTGGCTCCTGGCCTCCCACCCACTTTCCTTCTCTTGCCTTAATCCTGATTTATGACAATAGCTAATATCCCTAAGTTTTTGATGGCAGGCATGAGCACAACGCAGTACTTCAGACCTTGTAAGACTATATGTTCTAGCATTCCGCATCAATGGTTATATTTGCGAGTCTGCTAGGAATGGCTGCTCAGAAACACACATCTTGTGCCTGTATTTTTGTGGATCTAACTGTGTAAATTTCAGTAAGGCCTCTTCTACACTGCCATATAAAATCCAGATTATCTGCTTTGAACTGGATTATATGGCAGTGTAGATGCAGATAATTCAGTTTAATGCAGATAATGTGGATCATCTGATTTGATCATCTGGATTATATGCTATATGGCAGTGCAGAAGGGGCACCAGTTAGTTAGTTAGCTACTTAGTTATTGGTTTTATTTATGGGCAACTATAGCAGGCCTAGTGTGTAATTTCTTATCCTTTGAACTTTCCAGGATGGTAAGCTAAAAGGCCTCCCCAAAACCCATCTTGAAGTGACAGGCAAAGTACTTCTCATTTCTCTCTCGTTCCCACCAGCCGAGCTTGAGATGGAGTTGGGTCTGAGAGAAGGGTCTCTCCTGAAGATATCAGGGCCCGGGTAGGTTTGTAAAAGGTG